GTTAATTTTCCTAAGGGGCGTTGAACAGCCTTACAAAAAGCGAGAGCTTACAAACGCTATAATAAACACTCCATCAAAACTGTAATGTTAGTTAGCAGGCGAGCGGAGGCCAAGCCTGACCCTTTGTTTATTTATCTGCAGCATGCAGATAAATGTTGGGATTATAATGTTCAGGAACTGTGTTTAAAATAGATTTTAACCACTTTAAGTTCATCAGCCTTAGGAAGCAGCATCATCAGCATCAGCCAAACGAATGAGTTTTAGAAACGTTGTGGAAAAAACAGCGTCTCTTTGACATGGCGACAACACTGTCTTATCTAATGCAGCTCAACCAGGCCTCGCACCTTTTTTCCATATTCAGTGGGTGGAGATTATTTAAATGAGTAACATTATGACTTCACAAAGCCCTGAAAAATTGTGTTGTAGTCCAAAAGTTCGCTGTAGTTCTTGAAAAGTGGATTCTGTTTAATAAAATATCTCCCTTTAGAGTGGACTTTGGGTTTTGTAACCTTGCTGATCTTTTTTATGCTTAAACAGCAACATTACACTCTAAATGAAGTTGAAAAAGTGAAAAAGCATAATATGACCCCTTTAAGTGCTGTGAGACTGTACAGGAATGGCAAACTAAAATGACCAATTACAGGTCTGGTGGAAGAATTCAAATGCACCAAAGCAAGGTTATGACATTCACTGACTCTGACATTCAGCGGCCCCTCGGGTGGCAGCGACGAGAAAGTGTACTCCATCTGAAGCCGTGTACAATACAAAGTCAGTACTTCATTTCAAAAACATGATTGGTCAAGTCCAACATGGGAGAGCAGGCCTTGGGCTCATCCCAAAAGCTCCTTAATGGAATGCAACATAAGGGCAGAAGAGATGAGGAGGCAGGAGGATCTCATTGGACAAGCAGGGTCAATGGACTAACTGGGTGAATCTAGAAAAGAGAAAACTCAGCTGTCGTGACATTTGGGAAATGGAGGGAGGCAACTATGATCTCTTACCCACACCTCAGAACCTGAGCCAATGGTTGGGAGAAGATCCCGCATGCTCCCTGTGTCAAGCACCTGCATCACTGAGATGCATATTGTCAGTGAGATGCATAAGCAAGTTCTACAGCAGTTGGCATCAATCTTAGAGCAGAGGTGAACCACCACAAATGCTTTTGCACAAGCTTCCGCAGTAATTTCCCACTTCACACATTTCTTACCAGCAAGCCAACCTCCAGGACCATCACATTACAACAAAAGATGCAAGCATTCTGCGGGCTGCTTGAGACTGGAGGATGGACGTGGACTAGGAGAAAAAATCTGGTGTTCCCCCCAGATATTGTGGCTACAACACTCAACCAGACATGGTCCTTTGGTCCACAACAGCCAGTTGATATGGTATACCTGGTATATCGTGTGGAGCTTACAGTAGCATGGAGGATGGGGTGGAGGAAGCATGGGAGAGAAAATGTTTGAAGTACTCTAAACTGGCAACCAAAGCTGTGCAAAATGGCTGGAAGGTGAGGATATTTCCAGTGGAAGATGGATGTAGGGGTTTTGTCTCCACATCCACATCCAGTCTACTGATGAAAATGGGGGTTAGGGGTCGCTCTCTCAACAAGCAATCAAGAGTCGAATGTAGCAGAAAGAAGCAGCAATTGGCTGTGGGTTAAAAGGAAGGACATCAACTGGGCGGTGAAATGAAGATGGGGGATATGGAGTTAAGGAGGGTGTACCTGGGATGCCAGGTGTCACCGTTGAGCTCTCTGGAGACGTTGTGGGTTCATCAACGAAATGTCCATGAAGGAGGGTGCTGAATGATGACCTAATTATATTCCTACCGTCCCTTGTACCACTCAAATCTCACTGCTGAGATCAGGTATGCCAACATTCCACAGGGATTGAAACATCAAGTCCAAATAGCACCTCACTTTCTCTTACCTTATTTGACCCATGTAGTGTTTGTTAATGTGACAGGCAGACAGTGTGTACCACTGTGTAGATGGCAGACTCAGACAGAGAAAGGCACTCTGTGGAGACAGATCAATGGGAGGTCTTTCTGACTCATCAAAACACCACACACTTATTTGGTCCAAAAACTGCCAAGCTGTTTGTGTTTTCCTGCTTGCCTTGTGGAAGAAAACAGACTTTCCTGTAATTTTCTGGTTTTCACAGGCTGACATAATGTCATGTTTATCACAATAATTACGCTGACATCATTTCATTGTCAGGTGCATTTTCTCACAATTCTGCCACATGACTGCTTAGATAAATTGGCGTCCACAGAACCTGGACTGTAATTGGAGTTGTGTGTTTTCCTAATTTATTGTAACTATTATTAGTGAGGACGAATTGGAATTATACTTGAAATAAATACTTTAAAATTGATTTAAAAAATGTAAGACAATACATTTTTAAAGCACATCTGTGTATTTCTTAGTTAAAGACAATGTTTTAAAAACTGATCAAACTTGTCCATAACAGATCTTGTCATACTTGTGAAACGGAAGTTGCGATAGTCTATTCTTATTTGTGACAAACTGAGTGAAACAGCTACTTGAACAAGAAAAAGATGTAGGGCGGGACTTAATTTTGCTCATCAGTAACTGATCGTTATGGTTTGTTGTAATCTCATGTGAGTGACAGGTTCTCCCGCCCTCGCACCAGTAAACACGTCATTAGAGGAGAGATGAGATGTTGATGCAAGTGGGAGGGGAAGTTGTTTTTATTAAAGGTTATGAGGGCACACAAATTAAAAAAAATAATTATGTGCATTGATAAATAATTTATAATAAATACTGCTATATTCCATAAAAGAAAAGAATTGTCTATCTTAATTTCAGGGTGACTTTAATCTGGTGCGCATGCAGCGATGGGCAGACTGTGGTCCCAGTGGTACAGCTACCATGGCAACAAATGTCGTTGTCATGACAGACAATGACACAACATAATAGTTGCTGAAATAATTCATTCTCTTCCTTCGCTCTATTCATGATTTCATTCATTTATTGACTCAACTCAATGTCCTAATTCTGGTTAAAATTGTAATGCTCTCTCTCAAATACAGCCAGACATACCAAAATACACAGTCATACACACTTTTAATATTAACATTTTTCTCTTCTTTTAACATATTACATTCTGTCACTTTAAATCATGCACCCTTCAACACTTTAATATCACACTACATTTAACAAAAACACACTCACATGTGATCTTATAAAATATTTATAACAGGCTTCCACTTTTCCAGGTGTACTGTACTAAATGTTTGATGTGCTGAATCATGCCCCACTTCCAACAGGCTCATGCCCAACATTGCAGTCAGACTGACAAGCTGACTTGAAATATTTACACTTGCACATAGATAACAGGTTCATTTGAAACAGCTGCAGGAAGTGAAAAACAAAAATTCATTAAACAGTGACTTGACAAAACAAAGTCTTCATATCAAGAATGAAAAAAACACAGAATAAACCCAAACTAAATATCAAGTACCTTTTGGTAATACTGAAGTGTGTGTGTGTGTGTGTGTGTGTGTGTGTGTGTGTGTGTGTGTGTGTGTGTGTGTGTGTGTGTGTGTGTGTGTGTGTGTGTGTGTGTGTGTGTGTGTGTGTGTGTGTGTGTGTGTGTGTGTGTGTGTGTGTGTGTGTGTGTGTGTGTGTGTGTGTGTTTATTAATCATAACTAGTAATGATACTGAACAATACACACTGAATCTGCGGCACTGCTCCAGGTGAACCCCAATGACACAGCTGTATCTGTGCCATGACTCTGCCTAAAATGACATCATCAAGATGGGACAAAGAGGAACACCCTCTTCTCCATCAGTATAAGGGCCTCTGCATTCAAAAGAGCAAAGCAAAATAGAAACAGAATTTATTTGCATTTCTTAAAAGTCTTTCTATTCTTATGTCTTTCAGAAGCACATGAAAACACAAAACAGAGCAGGAAATATATTATTGAATCCAATCATTTTTGTCAATTATTCAAACCATTCTGTGTAACTGGAAAGTTTTTCTGTAAAACAACCACTGATTACATGCAAACTGAGGTTGACAGTTGAAATATGAAGTCTATAAATAGGCTAGATTATATGGGTGAATCCCACCTAAAGCCAACATGTCCTGGTCATATTTCACTTCTAAAATGAAAAGGAAAAAGAGAATCCATTATATATATATGTGAAATATTTTGCATAAAGATTTTTTATTTTTTTTTTACATTTTGACATTATTTTCATGATTATTTAGCACAGCACATTACATCATCATCACAACCACATAGAACAAGTAACAAATAGGCTACTATGGTGTATAGGCTATATATTACAATGTAAATAATAATTTTCCCAACATTGCATGAATAAGAATTATGGGGGATTATTTTTTTTGTGAAAATAATGTCACAAGTCAAAAATCTTCCTGAAATAGTTTTGCTTTTTCGTTCTGCAAAATATAACTTCTCAAATGTCTGTTGGGCATGTTATGAGTTCTGTGAGATACAAACATAAACCAATACAAAAATGTAAGCTGAGAATGGGAACTCATAAATGCAACAATCTCTATTGTTTATTAAAAATGTATATTAATGAAATCATTAGGTTATGTAATTGAGACGCTTTAGCGACAGACTCACTGATTTCTGTTATGACTTGTTTTAAATGATTCAGTTTCCAATAATTTCATTGGTAGGCTATGCAATTTCATTATATTTTGCAGAACGAAAAAGCAAAACTATTTCAGGAAGATTTTTATATGCAATCATTGGATTTTTATATCCGTTTTGTATATCCAATATTATCAACTGTAACATAAAATTACATTTAAAAAAAATAAAGTTGTCAGCTACACCTTTTATTAAAAAAAAGTACAGCAATCGTTCAAGAGTAGGCTACACTTTTATTGATATTGATGCCCAATTCACATGTCAACAAGTTCATCCAAAGTTAATCCTTTAATTATGTAAGGCTTTTCAAGGTTCCAATTGGTCTCGCGCTGTTTTATGATTTGCTGCATGACATCAGCTGGATGAGAGGAGAGGCAGCGGCGGTTCCTCATCATATGACACAGAGTCTGAGGATATAAAAGCCTGGGCCACTCCTTCTGCGCCCGCTGCACGGCTCCAGATAGAAGCTCACTTCAGGTTGCCGACCGGACAGACAGAGAGTGAGTGAGTGAGTGAGTGAGTGAGTGAGTGTGTGAGTGTCTGACAGAATGGCGACGTTAGTTGAACCTGTAGATACTCAAGCACCCTTCGGAGGTGTCAGTAGCACCAAGAGCACGGCATCGCCCACGGCCTCGACACATCACTTCGACGAGGGCAAATATTACCTGCTGGTGGTCACTGGGGAGCTGGTCACTGACGAGCATCTGAAGTGTGCCATTGCGGACATTGAGAAAGGTAGCTCAGCTGACAAGAATAATGAACGAATAATGTGCAGTGCCTCTGGTATTTATGCCATGAATATATTTAGATGATGTTTGGACCCGTGTATCTTATGCAGTTGCCTTTTCAAGTGCTGTTGACTAACCTTGAACTCACTTTGGGGTTGAATGGGTGAATCTAGACACACATTTTTGCTGACTGGAAGAAACTTTCCATGCATTGTTTTTGGATCTCTTTGTTGTGTGACTATGTAGATGGAAACTGTCTCGCAGCCCCTCCCTGTTACTAACTGGCGAGTGCACTGCATGTCTTATCAAAGCGATCGCATCGCGCCACCCAGTTTCCCAAAGACATCATCATCATCAGCACCATGACTGTTTTCGCAGGGTGTGCGGCTCTATCCGATGATCCAAATGTGTTGTTTTTGGCCATTCGATGAACTTCAGTGTCTGACTTTTGTTGTGGGCTAGGATGAGTTAGCATGCATATTTATAGCGTGTCGATCAATAAGACTTGTCGTTTGTTTCGCCGGGGTGGAGGGTCTGCAGTCAGGAGGATACGCACCATCACCGTCCATCTGCGTGGATGTGATCTGTGGCGCGCGCCAGTTCTTTGTTTTCTAATATCCGGTTTTTATTACTATATCCTTGCCCTGTTTGCGACTCATTTGAGAATCACGCTAAATAACCATGCACGAGAGAGATTTCAGTAAATGATTTATTCAGTTTGACACTAAATTAAATGCATTAGAAAGACAAATCATATTAAATTGCTAGGTGTAGGCCCTGCTTCATACCAAGTGTGGCAAAAGCATAACTTCTGCCCACTTGACCAGACCTAGAGACATTGTTGCTGCGCATCCTGATTTATTTACATCCTCTTCCATTCCACTCGCTCCTTTCTAATCACCGGCTTGTAGGCGTGGCGCGGTCCGCACTGCAGTCCCTACGGAAAGTCAGAAGGGCCCCATGTTCATGCCAAAGGGGCGTTTCAGTTAGTGATGGGACAACCATGGGGACAACGCGTACCGTTCTTTTCATCTGTTCATCCAAAATAACAGATTCGGCTATTATTTGCGTCAAGACGTAACTACGTCGTCACGTGGTCCAGCATCCAAATGTTCCAATAAAGCAATATGTAGACACATAGGCTTGTTTGTTTTTGAATTATATTTTATTGATAGGTGTGTTTATTGTAATTTTATGTGTCCCTGTCCCAGCCATCAACTCATAGGCTACATAAATCATTAAGAATCTAAATTTAATTTTCATTATTAATTATTGATTAATTAATTATTTCCAAAATAGAGTTCTCGTTTCTGTGAGTGGGCTAATGTTGTTGACTTTAGAACCCCTTTCTGGCCGATTCAGTCCTGTTAAATTTATCATTCAGACCGAACATTTTTTTATTTCTTTTGTCAAATCAACTTATATAATTCACGTGGTTTAGATAACATAATATTTTGAGATTCTGTTGATTAAACCAATCTCCATTGTATTAACTCAAATGTTTTGATTTTGATGAACTCATAATTTAATGTCAATCAGGTTACTTACTTTTTTAAGTTAAAGCAACACATTTTTTCAGTATAGTTTTAGTTGTGATAGTTAGGTCTTTATATCCCTGTGAGTGACGGTGTGGAAGAAAAAAAGAAGAACAGATAATTATCACTCTTTTCTTCTGCTCTATCAGGAGGCATTAGCATCACTTTGATGAGGCCTCTGCTTTAAAGCTGAAAAATGTATGATTTCTCAGGTTTAGTTGTTAGATTCCCTTTACTGGAAGATTCACTGCTATTTTTGTATTGTGATAAACAAAACACATTACTTTTGTATTGAATGAATCACTAAAAATTGCAAATTGCAAAATTGGCTCTTGTTTTGTGGAACTTGTGAGTAAATGAGGTTTGGCATCATGCTAAATTCTAACCATTCTTCTAACCATAAATTCTCCAGTATGTTAGGCTATACATTCCTTGAAGGCAAATGAGTTGCAGTTGTGCACGTGCGGTAGCAGAAATATACGGGTAATATTCTTCTGTGATTCCATGAGGGGAACAAGTATGCCATCATAAAAACAAAACATGTTTGTCATAAACAGTGTGAACAGCCTTCTTAACCTTTTACCATTTAGAGGCAGATCATTTTGAAGTATATCTGATCTAGAGATGTTCTCTTCAAAGCATAATCTCTGTCCTGGCTAACCATTGACCATGAAGGTTCATAGATATTTCCATACATTGATTGGCTTTTGCATGTATACCAACAGATCCAGGCATTTAGTATTTTTTTCCCATCTGAGTTTCAGATCTCTCCCTGGCATACTGCTACATACTTCATACTCATAAACAAACATTTTAAATGAGGTAGTTTTTGTTGCAAGAAGTAGCCTGTATTGTCAATGCATAAAGAACTGTTCTCTTCATGATTGATTAAAAGTACAACACATTTCATATTTTCACCCTTTTTCCTCTGACTTGCAGGAATTCGTTCATGGGACACAAATCTGATTGATTGTAACTTGGACCAGGAGCTGAAGCTTTTTGTTTCTCGACACTCTGCCAGGTTTTCAGCCGATGTGAGAGGTAGGCTGAACATGATCTGCTCACTTCATATCCTGTAGCCAGCTCAAAACTCTTATGAAGCAATTTATGATAACTTAATATTAAATATTTAAAACGCTAGTGACCCCAAAAGGTCAATAGTGCTAAAGATGAAGTATTGTATAGAGAAGAATCTTTGTATTATAACTATCATCATAATGTCATTATTAATATTAACTACTTATTTTTCCCTTTTCACAATAAAGACCCATAAAAACATTAGCATTACCATGACTTGGCAAAATCTCCCATGTCACAAGGTCATTAAAACAGCTTCACACCGAGCTAAATTTGTCATAGAGAATCTGCCTCAAAAAATCTGTCTATAAATATAGATAGGTAGTGTTCCAGTGACATAATTTCACTGCCAGTTAAATCAGTTGTATCAATGAGATCAATGAATGATGCAACAGTCATACAAGTGGTTCAGTCCCTGTGTTACATTTCTTCCATCGTGCTTTGCTCTGTGTCTCTTCTGAACTTTCCCATGACATCATAAATGTTACATAACCTCATGTAAAATTGATTCTTATCAGTTTATCTTTATATTAGCGCTTAGCAAACGTTGTAGATGACCACAATGTTCAGAACTTTATTTGCTTCCCTGTTTCTTTTTGCTATATCTATAATGCTCTTCTATATTTAGAGTCATATTTTTTTACACTGTGAATTTTTTGTGCGAGTTCTTGATGGATTCTTTTGATGGAGATAAAAGAGGTGGGTTTAGACGGTGTGCCTGGAGCTCTGTCTGGATCAAACCCTGTCCCTGGTGTCCCCTTGTCTGTCCTCCCTGATTGTCTGCCTCTGTATCTTTTGTTTTCTCTACTTTTTTTCCTCTCATGCTGAATTGCTGCAAGGGATGAAAGCTAAATGTGAGATAATTAGCTGAAAAATTAATGACAATGGTTTTGTCTGCTTTTGAACTAAAGCATGCACACATAGTCGTACATAGGGGCTTCAAATGCAGTCAGACCCCAACAGTAATATGGATTTTTTTTTTCACAAAACAGCAGGAAATTATAGGAGCTTAACCATAATGGAAATATCTCTTCCAGAGAGACAGTGAGACTGCTAATGTAAGCAAATGATGAGCCAACACTGACCTTGAATGATTGAAATGTAATCTGTGTTAGCTTGAAAACACACACACACACACACACACACACACACACACACACACACACACACACACACACACACACACACACACACACACACACACACACACACACACACACACACACACACAAGCTTAATAGCAAAGCACATTACTTTGTTGAGATCATCAGAATTCTTATTTACTCATCTGAGTGACTGTCGGAAGAGGACAAAACAGGGGTCTCAAACTCAAATTAACTGGGGGCCGCTAGAGGTAGAGTCTGGGTCAGGCTGGGCCGCATCAAGTATTCCACAAAAAAATAGTATTCAAGTATTCCAAAAAAGGAGCACAACTGATCCAATCTTCTCAATATTTATTAACGTTTCTTCTGAACAGTTCCTCTGAATTTGAACATTCCTTTCTGTACATGATTGGTTCTTCATGAGCTGTCCTTCTGACAGTTGAAGTTCATTTTACAAACTTTCTTTGTCTATAACACATATTTGTGATATTTATATTTGCTTATGTCCTTTTTATTTTCTTTATACAACACATTAATGATATTGAATGTTTTTTTTGGAAGGCACATTTCCTTTTATTATACTTAGAAAAACAATTATTGCTTTTGAAATACAAATATTTGCAGTCATGTCTGCCCGTCTTATTGAATTCTTTGTATAGTGTCTCAAATTACTGACTGCACAAATCAAAGCAAACCTTCTTATGAACCTGTTGGACACATATTACAAGCTCAAAATGATTATTCTCACATTGTTTTAGAGCAGGGTCTCTCTCCAACACGTCGCTCGCGAGCTACCAGTAGCTCGTGGCCTGATTGGTGGTAGTTCGCCAAGGGGCCGTTCACATATCGCGCTCACATATTTTGCGCGCTCAAGTTCGTAATTTCAAATGTAGGCGCGCGGCAAGCGCGCTCATAATTGAAGCGACGCGCTCATTTTTTCCAGGCGCAGTATGTTTGTACTTCGCGGTTGTCTATGACAACTATTGACAACAAACCCTCCGTAAGCTGTCACGAGACTATCTATGGTAGCTCATAAGGGATACTTTTTTTTTTTTTTTTTTTTTTCGCGGCACACGCAACGACGGGCCGCACTAACATTAAACTTTAATGTCAAGTAGGGGGCCACAAAATATCACCCCGCGGGCCGCAAATGGCCCGCGGGCCGCGAGTTTGAGACCCCTGGGACAAAACAAGAATAAATCATTGGCTACAAATCCCCCCCTTAAGGATAAACATGAAATGTAGGTGTTGGTTCATTTCCATAATCAGATTTATTGCTCAATGGGTGACTTTATATGAAGCTTAATAGAAAATTAACAGAGGAATTTGCATTATGCCGCTTTTGGCCATTTAGCCTTTTAAATGCAATGCCATTAGCTGTCCACCACAGACAAATAGGCCTACATAGTGGATAATTGCTTTATCCCAGCACCCCCTTTCAGAGCAATTCCAATTTTATAACACTTCTTGTTACTTTGAAAGCATTTTAAATTAATTTAGTCTTTAATACTTTTCAGCAGTAAAAGAGAGTTGTAGGATAATTAGGGTAAGACAGATAAATGGGGGCAGGGGAGATGGTGGGTTATTACTATTCAGCATGGAGGAGGGTGAAATATAAATCATTGAATGTCTGAGACCTGTGGAGAGTACAGGGAGATTTGAGACTCAAATACACACATACATACATTTATTTAGCAGATGCTTTAATCTTAAGCAATGCATAAATGAGAAACATAATAAAAAACACATGGTGGTTCACATTTATTCACATAAAAAAAATAGAAAATGTAGGCTATCTATATTAGATTAACTCCTTTGTACAAAATACCAACCAAATGACTTTGAAATACGTGGAACCCCTGCCAGAATCACTAAGAGGAGATGAATCACAGTGTGAAACTCGGAAAAGAGATTATAGTACTTGAAAGAATGCTTGAGAAAGAATTATGAGACCGGCAATATTGTGTCTGTGAGGCTCAGACGATAAAATGAGTGTGGAGGATCCCTTTGCTTCTGAGATACTTCAGGACCTTGCCTTTGACTTTTTCACTGCTTTGAGTCGAGACGGAAGCATAAAAATGTTCCTGGAAGTTTAATATTAGATCAGTTATCATAGTCCAGCAGATTCACTCAGCATCAGCCAGTGCAGTAATCAATAGTAATGAATCAGCTTCTGTAATGAAATCAATAAGCACTTAACAAATGATTGCACTTTCTACCGTGCATTTACATGCTAGCATGCTTGATCATCTAGGATTGTGATATTATTAATATTAAAAGTATGAGATGAACTGACAATATATGTATTATAATGCCATGTTAAAATATGATTCATTAAAATTGTTTTCCTTCAACAACTTGACAATTTAAAGGACTAGTCCATTCAATAATTACATGTCATGATTTACTCATCCTCATGTTGTTCCAGACCTGTACAGCTTTCTTTTTTTTTTGTGGAAAACAAATGTAAAAATAAAATATATTAAATATCCAATTTCAATACAGATTTACAGACATGGTGGGTGATAATTGCTGTCCTGGGCGTGTTCACAAATTATAGATTTTTATACAATTAAATATTTAACTCTTTGTTTGATTAATAATTTGATAGTTTGATTTGATAATTTTGCTTTTCTATAGTTTGCTTCTATTTTACATATGAGGCGTTTGGCAAATGCTTTTATCCAGATTGATTGACAAAAGAATTTCTGTTTTTGCATATGAGCCTGCCATTGTTAACAGACAGCAAGCATGTAATTCTAAATGTGCTGTGAGTATAAGAACACTAGCTCTAATACAAGTAGAGTACAAATAAAGGCACAGCATGTTTATGTCATGAATACTCTTGTAATACATGAGTCTTTAAACTGAGCCTGAAATTATGTCTAATATGCTTTGCTTTGATGTAGGGGCTAGAAGGTGATTAATATGCATCTCATGAAGCTTTTTGGGCAACGTTTTTGTTCAGACTTTGGGACTGAATGTTATAAGAAGAACTGGAATAAATGTTATTGATATTTCTAAGTATTTGTATGTGTGTTTGAATGAGCTCCTCTGCCTTTTTTCAAACTCCCATTTTGGCATTGAAAGGACAGGACAGAGTTGGAGAGAGACAAAGTGAAGGAGAAAGTCAGGTTCATGTTCATGTTCATGGCATTCCATTTGTATGGATACTTTCTTTGTTTGTGCGTTGTTGTGGGTGTCATTAGATGAGGCTGCCTGCCCAAAGGGTGTTCAGTCTGTATTAGTATCAGAGACAGTGTGAGGTGAGATCAGAACAAGAGGGGTGAGGATGGGGTTGGGTGAGTGTGGCAACGCAAAGCAAGTATAAGTCAAACAATACTGCAGCTGACACATCTGCACCCAGAATCAAACTGGAATGGAAATAGCCCAGCTTCTAGGTGACAATCAGATATGCCTGCTTTAGCTTACTAAGAGATGCAAGTTTGTAGTTATGATATCTACAACTTTATATGATTATTTAAAGGTGCTGTTTACAAGCAATTTCAGACATTTTGCTGACTTCTGCCATTTTTCTAATTTTAACCTCACTCTCTCTCTCTCAAAAAACAAACAAAAAAACATTTTTTTTCTCCTGTGGTAAAAAGGGATGTCACAATCAGTTTCAGACATTTTGCTGGCTTCTGCCATTTTTCTAATTTCAACCTCACTCACTCTCTCTCTCTCTCAAAAAAAAAAACTACGGTGTCACAGAGACATATTCGATTCTTCATGTCACTTTTCAGTGATATCTGTAAGGTGGCAACATTTTATACGTGATATTTCCCCAAAAATCGCTTACAACACCTTCACCATCTATTTGACACTGAATGATATTTGACCCAAAAATCAAAATTCATTCATTTACGCACCCTTGTGGTTCTGAACCTGCTTATACTGTATGGATAGAACAAAAGAATAAGATATTTTGAAGAATGTTTCAACTGTATTAGCCCACTGTGCAAACAGAGGAAAACATTTTAATGTAACATTTGGAAAATTAAGCTATGGCGAAGATGTTTGTTGGTTAACACCATGCTAGCTTCTGTGGCTATTTTCATAGTGAGAAAAACTAATCTAATCTAATCTAAATCACAATCTAATAAAACATTATTTAATGATAAAGAGTTTTGACAGAAAGAACATGTTGGTGGATCTTCTCCTAGTATTAAAAACTTTTGTGTCAGGTATGGTGTTCATTATAAAAGCCCCATTATACTCACCCATGTGGATAATAGTCTATGGCAGCGGTTTCATTTTCCAAGGGCAAAGGAAAACTCTGCTATCGACCGTAATATAATTTGTCCGAACTTTAGTTTGCACCACTGATTCTAAACACATTTTTTTCTCTTCATCTCTTTGAAGTTCCCGACAGCATCTATTTTTGTCACATAAATGGTCTTCCCCCTGGTGTGAGGTTGGCCCTGTAATGATGCCGCTTTTCTGCTTGCGTGAGTCTGGGTGTGTGCTGAGCAGCAGGAACAGCATTCATGTCAGGTTACTGTCACATCAACTGTGTTAGCGGACCTGCCCAGATTTAGAGGAACAAGGAGAAAAGAAATGGTTAGAAGAGAATCATTCATTACCAAAACTCAGATGTCTATGCTCTGAAGAATATCTTCAGCTAAACTAGAGCAGAGAGTACTGCAGTGAGATGACTCGACTGCAACACCTCAGAACACACATATAGAGAAGAAATGAAGTACATCAAGTACGCTCAATTTCAGCTAAATCAGATGCATTCCATTAAATTCATTCTTCCATCCCTTAGCTCCTCCCTCTCATCCTCCAACTGATCTTGATAAAGCATTTTCTCGCAAAGGAACTCCCACTCCCATTCCTAATGATCAAAGAGAGAGTGGCCCATTTTGGTATCTGGAGTCTCAGACATGCTGTATACCTTCTTAAAAAATTGTGTTTTCTAGGGGGCAGATGCACTTATATTTAATAAGAAACACATTTAACACTAATTAATCACTACCCTTAGGTTGGTCTACTTTATTTCTCTGAAATAGTATTAAACATATTGTCTATTGAGAGTTGAAGTCAGTCTATGTAATGCTAGTTATTTCTTAAATAGGTTACAGAAATGTTTTGTGGAGAGCAGTAGAAAAAGCAAAAAATACAGGGGAAATAATAGAAGAAGAAATGGATGGGGTACACAGTGAATATGTTTAGATGAGGGGATATGGAACAAATTCAGAGTGTTAATAATAACTCAGCAGGTGGGAAACACACTGTAATTAGCTACACTGCATGAGAGAGTCACCTGGATTTATGCACACACACATACAGACACACATACTACATACTGTATGAAACTGGATTATTCTAAAAATGAAGGGAGCATGTGTTAGGGAGCAATTAGTATAATACAAGTCCAAATCCAGGACAGTGATTTTTGCATACGTGTGTTTTTTTTTTTTTAAGTTTAGGGCAAACTTATTTATGAATTATGATTTCTGTGTGAGAATGTTTGCACACAGGTTGTATATGTGTATTGTGTATATGCACAAATATGTGTGTATGCGCTTTAGTAAATGAGACCCAATATCTGCAATGTAAAATCACTGCTGCACCAAAAGCATGTAATTTATCCACAGCATCCAGTTTTGGAGACTTTTTTTACAACTATTCTTGGCTGTGGTATGACCATGCTTGCAAGAGGTTGTGCACTGTTAAGTGCAAATGGGAAAATTGTGTGTGCCCTCTTGTGTTTTAGATTTAGACCTTGAAATTTTTGGTAGCTAAGGCCTTATTCTTCAAGCAATTTTCAGCACTTATGGAGCGCATAGTCACTGACCCTATACAAACAACTTCAGAGGTGGGATTATGAGACTATGAACAACAATTGCTGCATGAGTGAATGTTACAAAAGCGGCTCATAGACCTCTGCAGTAATAGCAAACACTCTACTGACAGGGACAGAGTTGACCGTTTCCTGCAATCTTACAGCTTCACTGCTTCTGGACAGCTTGATGGATTTATAAAATGATTGATTCACCCAGACAGAGACTGAGAAATTCTCACCTGAATTTATAATGAGCCTTTTGGACAGGGGATGGGCAAAAATAAGATATTAAACAATCAGCGGCATGTTATATTATCAGTGTAGTCACACTGTCAGAGGACATGTATGGACAGAAAGTACAGAGAAAATGGCCAGTTAGCCCAAAAAATAGGAACACACTTACCACAGTGGAATACTAGAAGTTTTTTTTCGTGTTCCACCTATGTGGTGATTGAAAGAGAAAGGATGACAAGTTGCTGGAGGAGGGGCAGAGGTTAATTAGATATCTGTCAATAGAGCATATATAGAGAGAAACGAGTAAGAGAAGAGGGGAGTATTTGCATGAGTATACACAAGGCAATTAACAATCAACATAACCATTTTGACTACAAATTAAACTTAAAACTCAATAAGGCATATATAGATAACAAAAGGGGCTGAAGGAATGGTAGTGAAAATGTAAATGTAAAGTGCTTTGAGTACCCAGAAAAGCGCTATATAAATGTAACGAATTATTATTATTATTATTATTATTATTATAAAAGAAAAGGAAATGATCTTCAATAAAATTACAGACCAAATAAACTCACCAAAGCTAGGTTTTGGCTTGTCTTTGAGGTTCCTTAAGCAGCAGCAGCATTTGTGTTGTTCTGGAGTCCTGGTCTGGCTATTTTCGGCGAAGACAATCCTTAAAATATATATGTATAATTTAATTCAGTTAATAACACAAACCAAAACATTTTCAAGATCCTCATGTGCATTGTGTACATCACAGTAATCATTAATAACATGTCATTTTATTTTCAGGACAAAAGATTCTGCACCACAAAAGTAATGTGTTGGAGACAGTAGTGCTCATCAACCCTTCAGATGAAGCTGTTAGCACTGAGGTAAACCCACTCTCTCTGTCTCTCTATATTTCTATAAATATATCTATGTCTGCCACTAAAACATATTTTAAAACTGTTTTAGGTGTCTGGATCACATAGAAACAAATACCTTATTGGGGATAAGAATAAACACAGAGCTAGTATCCTATAGGACAAGAACATCATGGTTCCGTATGTAATGGGTGTGTCGCAGTTGCAGGCAAAGTCATAAATGCACAACAAGCTCATACACACAAAGGCTTGCTTGCACACTGTGACTGCAGTTTGACTCTGCATTAATAATATGGTAAAGCACTGCAAGTCTGACCCTGGCAGAGCGCCCAGAACAGTTAATGGCAGCAAACTGGAAAATGCTGGCCTGGACAGAGAACAAGAAAGAGAGAGGAAAAAACACAAAAAGCCAAAAGCCAAAGTAATACAATTTGTATTTGTTGAAATGAATGACATTTTTTAGTCAAGTCACAAAAAAAAAAAAAAATTTTTTTTAGATGAGCTTATAGCAACAAGTTTACTTCTATTAGGTGGGTTTTTTACAGCATGATATGACATTTTACAGTGCAAACTCTCAGTTGATTAAGGTTTTTGGCAGATAAGGCATTTAAATAATTAAGGATAACCTTCACATGTTGTTTTTGTTGCATCAAATGCAAGCCATGATTAATCCAAACCAAGTCAATGTTAAATTAATATTATAATATTTATATATATAATATAATATATATAACTTTGTTTATACCTAGGTACGTCTTATGGTCTCAGACTCAGCCCACCATAAGCTGCTTGTCCTAGCAGGACAGTGTTTTGAAAATACAGGCGAGCTGATTCTCCAATCAGGCTCCTTTTCTCTCTCCAATTTCATTGATATTTTTACAGATCAAGAGGTGAGTGATTGTTAGCTTTTTGCTTTGGTTTGCTATATTTACCAGTTTAGTGAGTGCATTTGAGAAAAGATTCTCAAACAGTCAACAGATGCTAAAATCTAGCATGCATATTACAGTTTAACATTACATTCAAGGAAGCTGCTGTCTTATTTAGTGAAACATTTCAATTCACTTTACTCACAGATTGGAGAACTTCTTAGCACCATACATCCAGCCAACAAAGCCAGTTTAACCCTTTTCTGTCCTGAGCATGGTGACTGGAAAAATTCAAACCTGGACAAACACAACTTGCAGGACTTCATCCATATGAAGTTAAACTCCCCAACCATCCTTCCAGAAATGGAAGGTCTTTCCGAATTCACAGAGTACCTGTCAGAATCTGTAGAAGTCCCATCTCCTTTTGACATGCTGGAACCCCCGACTTCAGGAGGGTTCCTAAAATTATCCAAACCATGCTGCTATATTTTCCCTGGTGGACGAGGTGATTCAGCACTGTTTGCAGTTAACGGCTTTAACATGCTGATTAATGGTGGATCTGATAGAAAGTCATGTTTTTGGAAGCTGGTACGCCATCTGGACAGAGTAGATTCTGTTCTCCTCACACACATTGGAGATGACAACCTCCCTGGTATTAATAGCATGCTGCAGCGAAAAATAGCTGAACTCGAGGAGGAACAGTCACAGGGATCCACAGCTAACAGTGACTGGACAAAGAATATGATCTCACCTGATATTGGTGTTATGTTTGTCAACATGCCCCAGAACCTGGAAAACCTTGAGCCTAACTACAGGATTAGAAGAAATGCTGGGGAGGCATCTCTCACAATGCAGTACTTAAACAAGCTGTCTTTAAAACCAGAATCTCTGCATAGGAATATTGGGAACACAGTAGAACCAATTATACTTTTCCAGAAAATGGGGGTTGGAAAGCTTGAAATGTATGTTCTTAACCCTGCTAAGAACAGCAAGGAGTTGCAATGCTTCCTGAAAGAATGGACTGGTAGTGATAAAGACAAAGCCCCTGTCTTGTTGCCAAATGGAAAAGAATCAGAGCTCCCAATCTCATATTTGTCTTCCATCTCATCACTGATTGTGTGGCATCCTGCAAACCCATCAGAAAAAATCATCCGTGTTCTGTTTCCAGGCAATTCCACTCAGAATAATATTCTCGAAGGCCTAGAGAAACTTAAACACTTAGATTTCCTCAAACATCCTGTGATCACACAAAAAGAGCTTAATTCAAACTTAGCCCCTACACTGAAACAAGCAAAGATGAAACATAAGACAGACAGTAAAGAGAGCCTAAAGTCCACATCAAAACCATCCCCAAGCAAAAATGTCCACAAAGAGTCCAAAGAAGAAGCCCCTGAAAAACTAAAAATTCTTAGTAAAACTGACTCTGTGGAAACTCAGGAGCCAACACAAAAGACAGAGAAGAAAGAAAAAGCACTTGTGAAAAAAGTGAAAGCAGGAGACAAGGACATTAAAGGCAAGATTGAGCAAACACCCAAAATTGACACTCCAGAGAAAAAGAAAGCTGACATTAAACCAAAAATAATAAAGAAAGAAACAAAGAAATCAGTGGAAAAGAGTGAGGCTGATAAAAAGGCTGAAAAACCCACACCCAAGAAAGAAGAAAAGACTAAAAAAGAAGAGAAAGTAAAGAAAGAAGAAGTGAAGAAGGAAAATAAGAGACGGGACATTAGGAAAGATTCCCTATTAAAGGAAAGCAGAAAGGATGAAAAGAAAGAAATGCAGAAAGATGAAAAAGAACCAAAGAAAGATTTGAGGAAAGCTGGTAGCTTGAAAAAGAATGCCCCTAGCATACCTGAGGTGAAAAAACCTGCACCTAAACCAAAGGTTGCAGCACGAGGAAAGGCTCCTGGTAGTCCTGCAAAATCCAAAGAGAAGGCTAAGGCTAAGCCCACAAAAAAAGATGCAGGAGAATTAGTGGCTGCAACTTCTGTTTCAGGTGCTACTGCTGATGAACCTGCCATTGAAGCCAGTGTAACAGGTGTTCTTGAGGCAGAGAGATCATTGATGTCTTCTCCAGAGGACCTCACTAAAGACTTTGAGGCTCTGAAAGCAGAGGAGATTGTTGAAGATGACGAAATCCTATCTCAGACCAAAATAGATGATTCTGATCAAGGAGAGATGATCAAGCATGAAGAAATAACTCCTTGCAAAGAGTCTCCAGAAGCAGCAGAGTCACTGGATGAAGGAATAGCAACCACAGAAGCTGAGGAGGAATGTGGTGGTACTCCAGGGGAGCCAGAACCCAATCAAAAAAGCAATGGCACCAGTGATAAATTCGAAGATGAGGGAACAGGGTTGGAAGAGTCATCTGAGATAGGGGACTATGAAGAAAAGGGAGATACAGAGGAAGTGGATGAGCAGGACAGAGCAATATCTACATTAAAAGATGATGGAGAGCAAGGAGAGCAGGAAACAAAGGAAGGATCCGATTATGGTGCAGAAGAACCACAGTGTTTTGATGTAACCACACCTCCAAGGCTCTCTGCACCTGTATCTCCTGCTGTTTCTATTCATGATAAAACTCTACCAGCAGGTTCAGAAAGTGAGGTCGCCTCTGATGATGAAAATCGAGATGAGCCACCAGAAGAATACACAACATCTGGACACACTCAGTCTACAATTGAGATCTCAAGTGTTCCAACACCTATGGATGAAATGTCAACTCCAAGAGATGTATTGAGTGATGAGACAACTAATGATGAAAGTGATTCTCCCTCCCAAGATTTTGTCAGGTACAGTATGGCTACAGATTATGAACGAAAGAAACTCTCACCTCTCAAAGATCTTCCTGAATTAGATCACTCCAAGAGCGATGCCACTGAAGGGCATGACTATCATGCATCAGCTTCCACCATTTCACCTCCATCTTCACTGGAGGAAGACAAATCTGCCAAGGAGTTTTTAACCAAAACCACATTCTCTTTTGATTCAAACAGGCTCACTGGTACCACTACAACTTTGCCTTTTGTCCGGTCACCTTCTGGTGACCAAAACATGAACATTGACCATATTCATACAGGTGCATCTTCACCGATTGAACTGGGAACCACACTAGCAGGGATGTCAAAAGGAATGGAATCATACAATCCAGATGAGAAAACCTTAGAGGGCCCTTTATCTCCTCAGTCTTCAGGTCACACACCTTACTACCAATCCCCAGTGGAGGAGAAAGATGGCACTCTACCGTCTGAGAAAACATCTGAGCCCCAGGGTCCTATTATTGTTGACATCACAAGTGACAAGGAATACTCTCCCAGAGAGGCTAGTCCTATTGATGAAGCGGTGCCTGTGTCACAAATGGAAAAGAAGCAATCATCAAGTTATGAAGCACATTTATCAACCAATTTTGAGCTTGACCACAAGACCCAAAGCCAGACTGACAATAATGATAAAAAGTTAGCAACTGATGACAGTTCTTCAATTATATCTGCTGCATCATTGCTGCCGGCTAAAGTAGAGAGCCTGTCTGATACAAATCCTTTCACAACATTTAAAGAGGACAGCAAAATGTCCATATCTGAGGGGACCACATCGGATAAGTCTGGCACACCGGTTGATGAGGTTGTTGCAGAGGACACATTTTCTCACATTGCCTCTGCCTCAACAGCATCACTCGCAACAAGTTCTTTACCAGAACCTACAACAGATGAGGTCTCCCCATCACTTCATGCTGAAGTGGGCTCCCCTCATTCCACAGAAGTGGATGACTCTCTCCCTGTCTCTGTTGTTCAGACTCCAACCACAATGCAAGAAGCAGAAGTCTCCCCATCTAAGAGCAGTCCCTGGCCTATGTCAATCTCCCCTGATGTTTCTCCAAAAACAGCCAAATTGAGAATGCCACAAAAGGAAACAAAATCCTCTGAGCAGTCTTTGTCAGCTGAGTGTGGACAAGAATCCCCAGAACACTCATTTACATTGGATTTTAGCAAGCAGTCACCAGATCATCCATCTGTTGGAGGAATGCAGCATACGGCCACTGAAAATGGTCCGACAGAAGTTGATTACAGCCCCTCGGATGGAGCTGGTCTCACAAAAGAACAGCACAGACCTGGGGAAGCTGGGGAGAAGGCAATGCTTTTCAAAGAGTCTGATAGTTCCCAGGTTGCTTCTGCTTCCCCATCAGATGCCTCTCAGTCCACCCCATCAGTTACAACACCCTGCCAAATTGGGGAGCCAAGAGAAGTTTCCCCAAATGCGGGTCGTTTCTCAGCGTCTGTTACTCCAAAACAGTCACCCTTCAATCAGTCCCCTTTATCTCCTGACTCTTCTCTTGTTCTAGGGAGACCAAGTACTTCACATGAAGGTACAGATAAAGATAAACCTAGTCCCAGCTCATTTTACGAAGAGACTGGTATAGATAAAATAGAGGACACACAAAATGGACACACGAAGGCCCAATCTCCTACAGTGTCATCTTGTTTTTCTCAGAAGACAGAAGAGCTTAAACTTGGCTTAGTGACGAATGCCTTCACAGACTTGAACCCCCCCCCAAGCCCCAAAATATCAACTCCAGCACAAATTTCTCCTTCTTTCAATCAGACAGACACTCAAGAGACGTTTTCCAGCAGCTCCACATCATATTCCTACAGCTGTCAATATGGAGAATCTACTAAAATCTGTGATGGTGGGTCCATAGGGCCAGATACATCAAAAACAATCCTTTCTCAGTCACGAGCAGATGTGGACTTGTGTTTGGTGACCTCCTGTGAATACAGACATCCAAAAACAGAGCTTTCTCCATCCTTTATAAACCCCAGTCCTCTTGAGTACTTCATGAATGAGGAACATCCTGTGGAGGAGGAAAAGCCACTTGCTAAGTCTGGAGGAGAACCACCACCACCTGAAGGGAAACAGCAGAACAAGCAGTGTGAAGAAACTCCACCAACCTCTGTAAGTGAATCAGCTCCCTCTCAAACGGACTCTGATGTTCCTCCTGGCACAGAGGAGTGCCCATCAATAACTGCAGATGCAAATATTGACTCTGAGGATGACTCAGAAACACTACCAACAGATAGGACTATCACTTATCGTCATGCAGACCCACCTCCAGTCACGCCCAGAGACCCTGCTCCTGCTCCTCCACATCCTGATGCCTGTATGGTAGATCCTGAGGTCCTTAAGGCTCAGGAGGCATCCCAAAAAGATGAAAGAGGGAAGCCAAAAAAGAACATCAGCAGCAAGACCAAGTCATCTGCAACAAAGAGCTTGTCAAAAACAAGTGCCATCAAAGAATTGAAAGTTTCTTCTCCAAAAAAGGCTACAGAAGATAAAGATGCCAAAAATGCTACTAATACCTCTGCATCAAGGGGAGTGAAAAGCAGCACTTCAGGTAACTAGTTTCATACTAGAATTTTCATACTTTCAACTTTATACTTTCAATTAAAAAATGACACCTTACATATCAAAATGTCTCCCCAATGTCCCCAATGTCTATAGTTTTTTTAAAGCCTTGTTTAACTTTGCTTTTAATATAATATATATATATATGATTTATATATTTTTATTGTTGTTAAGGAAGCACCAAGTACAGCAGTGGAACGTCAGTACCTAACTGTCCTCCAATGTATATGGACCTAGTTTACATACCAAATCACTGCAATGCCAAGAATGTGGATACTGAGTTCTTTAAACGGATCCGATCCTCCTACTTTGTAGTCAGTGGCAATGATCCAACAGCACAGGAGCCCAGTAAGGCAGTTCTGGATGCTCTGTTGGAAGGAAAGAGCCAATGGGGAAATAATATGCAGGTACTATTATTCTTCCAATTATGGATACTTTCCTTGAAATTAATGTTGCATATGATATTAGTATAGTCATTCTTACCCCTCTAGGTCACACTGATTCCAACCCATGATACAGAAGTTATGAGGGAGTGGTACCAGGAAACCCATGAGAAGCAGCAAGACTTAAACATCATGGTTCTGGCAAGCAGCAGCACTGTGGTCATGCAAGATGAGTCTTTCCCTGCATGTAAGATTGAGCTGTGATTGTCATGATCAAGATGTGGTAGAGGTTGGATGTTGGAGAGCAAACAATAGGAAAACTTACTACACACATTCACAAAAGCAAATGTTTAGGATCTCTTTCCATATACTCAATAGAGGAACCAGCAAAAAATGTTTCTCAGTAGAATTATCTAGTACTTTTTTAGATCTCAGGTTGTGAACATATTGGGTTAGACATTGTTGACCACACAAAGAGCAGTTTTTGCTGTGTATAAGACCTCCACAAACACCCAGCATAAGCGACTTAGAGCAAACTAAACAACTGACTAAATACATACAGTAGTCGGTGGATGAACACTGTATTGAGCATCTCCAAGAAAACTGACAACAAACTACAAATTTACTCATTTAAAAACAGGTTATAAACTGGTCAATGGATCGCTGAAAAAGAACTCCATAAATGATAATGTTTACACCAAAGGTCGAGGGATTGTTTAAATGCCTTAGAAAGTTAAACTGAATGTACAACAAACATGATGCACTTAATATGAGGACAATTAAATGGTATGTATAATCCACAATTACAAATATATCATTGGATGCAAAAGCTACATTTAGCATCATATTCCAGCCGCATTGAGTTGCATAAAATATGAATGTGAAGCTTGCTACCATTGTGATTAAATGCAAAATAGAATAAAGGTTTAACCAATTTAAAAGACTCCCTGAGAAAAAATGCCTGAGAAAACAGGAAATACCATAAGTCGTACGTAAAAACCGTAATGTTACAAATAATAAATCTTATACCTCTTCCTCCTGGAAATAATTCATTAATTATATTGTCACCATTGTAATAGATATGAATTTTTACAGGTAGAAAATATTTATTTAAAACTGCCCATCATTAGCTTGAAATCACATGAATTTCACACCACCCTTTTTTAATAGGGTAAAATATTAAATGTTTGAACTCCAAAAATTGTTACTCATCAATTTGTACTGCTTATTATTTGCACACTTTATTTATGTTAATGTTTTTATCCTATCAACTGAGTAATTGAGTTGCAATATTTATTTGCCTTATTTAATACTTAATTTATAATTGGAAATTTACTTTTTGTGGCATTCCTATGAAGTTAATCATAAAAGGAGATCTCTAACATGCGAAACTTGTCGTTTCAAAGTTGTGTCAAAGTTCAATTTTTTTTTTTTTTTTTTGATAACTATTGATTTCTTCTCTAACTCCAAATGAAGTTGATTATCCTTTTAACTGAACATTTCACTCAATATTGAGAGCTCTTCTGTATGCACTGTTCATCCAAATCTTATCCATCTAAAATTTTTATTTTCTTAGCTTGTCAATGTTTCCAAGAAGAGCCATCAAGATAGTGGTACATTGAAAGTTGAGAAACTGAAAACTTTCCTTTGCTTGGGAATCTTTTATAAAATTGCACTGTACTATAATTATAAATAGCTTAGTGACGGAGTGAGTGGTCGGATGATATGTGCATGTGCAATGTATTATCCTTGACATTTCTCTGTGCTTTCTTTCACTAAGAGGGGAAACTCACTCTTTACTGCCAACAAATCACTGCAAGGATATGACTGAAATAATTAATGATTGGAAAATCATGAACTTGGATCAGGTTTGGTGTATCTAAATGTCACTTTTAATCAATAACCATACAGTCATGGAAGTTTTACCATCTCAATTGAATTCCAATCATCAATTACTATGACGCTTCCACTGTATACGGATTTTACAGTTTCTACCAGTAAATTGCGTGATATCTACATGACAATACAGGATAATGCCACAGGTTGTTAAAATATTTCAAAGCCATAACTGCTTGAAACATTTTTTCACAATATTTAGAGCCAACAACACATCAACAAAAAATTACCAGGGAACACGGTGCCGTTGTGGCCCAACCCTTTTCAACAGCTCAAGAAGATAATAAACTTGATATGACGATGATCTCAAACCTCACGGTTCAGAACTGGATACTTCTTAATTCCATACTAACAGCAGCAACGGTTAACAGATTCTATTGCTTTAGCAAAATGCATTGTTGTTTATCCGCAAGACATCTACAAGAGTGACTACAACACACACGTCCAGTCTATCACTCCCCTCTTTCCTCTGACCCACAGTAACACTTCACTTCACTTTCTCTCAAAACTTCACAATCCCTCTGGTTTTCCTCGCTGACCTTCGGGTGCTAGTAAGAATATGTCTGCAGTTGTGTATGAACTATATATATTTATCTTGTGAACTTGCATCTTTCCCTTTTTTCATTCCTAATCCCATATCTAGAGGATAGTCTCTTGTGAAAGTATTACCTTGTGCTTTTTCCTGATGTTTGTGTGCGATATATCTTCTCAACTATGGGGTGTTTGATGTAAAGGGAACTACAATTAAAAAGAAGGTAAATCAATCCACAATAAATCATTTTGTGGAAAATATTTTGTGTTTTTATTTGTAGAGTATGGTATTCCACAAAATGTGGTTATGTTGTTGGTAAGGGGAATTTTGTGATCTTGTGCTTGCTCAAATGCATTTCTGAGAGTTGAATTGGCTACAAAAGAGGCCTAAGCCCCTGGGATCATGTGTCTGATTCTGGTTAGACATCTGGCTCCGACCAAATTTACCCAAATTGAACAGGATTTAGGCAAGTAATTTGTGCATTCTACGTTTTGGCCTCAAAAAGACAACACTGAGCATAACTTTAAATTAACTTTTCTTTTAAATAAAAGGAGAGCAATTTCCTACATGCTTTTATAAAACATTAGAATACATAGTAAAAATGTACTCTTGAAAATAAGCTGTTATGGTGAATCAAGACTGGTTTGCATTAACATCTATTTGATTGAGGGAAGACAGACTGGTCACTACCCTGGCAGTCAACCATGCCATCACTGCCCTTATGCCACAGAGGACATTAACTAATGATGACTTGGGCACTGCAGGCATTTTTCAAACCCAGACAGAACCGTAGCGTTAAATCAAAATGGAAATGTCTAGCGGCAAAAGTACCATAGAAATAACATTGGCTGAAGTTCAATGTGAGAAGTCTGGGTCACAGCATTACTTTTATGTATTGAGCATGATGTCAGCAGATCAATGCAGGTCAGAGGAGTCATGCAACCTAAAGTGACTTTAGATTAACTCTGTTTGCTTTTATGTGAAAGGAGTAAAGGAAGTAGAATTATTTTCAATATTTCTTTTGTTTTAAAATTTGATTATGTGCATTGCGTTCTCAAAACTGATGCACCTTTTCAAGTTATTATTTCTACCAAAGTGCACTAACCACAAAAACACTTCATCTCTTTTGCATCATCATAATAATAATAATACGTTTATTTTATATAGTGCCTTAAAAAGTTGCATTTTCAAAGCGCTTTACAGGCAAACATGACAACAGAGAAAACTACACACTTTAAATACAAAAATAAACAAATAAAATTAATAATCAAGTAAAAGCAATCCTAAAATAAAATCTTTTAAGAAAAGATTTAAAAGTCACTAATGTATTTGCTTCCCTGATGTCGGCCGGGAGAGAATTACAAAGCTTAGTAGCATAGGAAGAAAATGTTCTATCACCCCTAGAACGAAGCCGTGTCTTGGGAACAACCAAGAGACCACTCTGAGAGGAACGCAGATTACGATCATGTAGCAAACATCCTTACCAATAAAAACGGTCACTTAATAACAAAATTACTTTAACGCACTGAATACTAATATAACTGGATAATTTCGTTATCTTAGATTTTTCAAGCACTGTAGTATGCCAGCGTAAATCACAAATTATCCATTTTAATATCTTTGAATAAAAAAAACTGATAGAAGATTGAAGGAAGCAGAAAAATGGTGATGTTGAACATATTTTGTTTTGACATGTAACATGTAAAAGTGAGCAAAAATGGTTTTTATTAAAGTTCTGATTGACTGTGAGTGAGAAACGATATCATGAATTAAAATATATGGTCACTGAATGAACTTTGTAACGAGGCAAATAATAAATTATTCACCATTTAATTAATTAAAGGGTTCTCAAAATGTGAAGTAGGTATTGAGAAATTAACACAACCAATTTGTGTAAGAAACGGTAATATTAGCAGTTTACAACAACTTATGTATTTTTGCTAAACAACAAATTAGATACACAGGGAACCTATAAACCTGCAATTTGACTATGCACACACTGTGGTCTTGTTCAAAACAAAACATACAGAGTGACAAGAAGGAACAAGAAATACACTGGTAAAGCTGCAAAGCTCTTTGTTTCGAATGTATTGTAATTTCTCAGATATAAGTGAACACAAGTTCACAATCTATGGCAGGAAAAAACACTGAATTTCCTTTATTAGCCTTGTAATGCTGCTCACAGCATTGTGAATACCTCCATCTTGGATCTCATCAATAATCCAGCACACTTGAGAGTCAGCCTCCAATTGGGCAAATGAGAGTCTCTCAGCTGAATGGGGTGAGGTGCTGTTGCTAAGGAAACGAACAGCAGAGTCCCGCCAGGACCACAGAAGGAGTCTAAGTATAAACAATTGCTTGTTCTGTTACTGTCTATCTTTAACATGTAACATTTACCACACACACATTTCAAATATAAATGAGCACATAGTATAGGTTTCAATAATTTTATAAAGCTAAAAATACTACAAAATACTGACCCTGAATAAAATTTCCTCAAAGGCAGATTTAGCTCTCTTTTGGGGACAAAACTGTCCCTAAAGTATAGCTACACACTAACATGTGTACTTGCCGATCTTCCCCTTCATCTTGAAAGTCTTTTGAAACATCACCCAATAAAAGAATTATCTCCACCTACTCTGCATTTATGGTCATGTCATCCTGTCAGCTTTATACACACACCAAGGATTCTGTGGATACTCGAAAGATATTCTTTATTCTACGTTGCTTTGTTGCATGTTATATTTAAGCCAAGCTAATAATTGTGTATTTCATCTCTCAACATGACATGCTATGTCACTCTCAAATAACTAGACATGCAAAAAATTATATCAAACCTGCCTTGACAAAATTTCCCAATCAAACATTTTGTCACAAATGTACTATTGTGACATATGCATCTCTCTCTCTCTCTAATAATGACCTTTCAATGCAGAGAAAAGAAGCTGGGAAATGATCCAGCTGTTAATTGATTATCTACTGCTGGTGTGGTTAGAACAGATGAGCAAGGGAAGCAAAGTAACACGTTTAGCTTTTTTTTCTCCACTAATAGCTCCTCTTTTTTTTAATAATACAAAACAGCATCACTACAGACAGAAAGACTCAGTCTGTATAAGTGCATCTAGAATCTATATGTCTCTGTGTCTCAAACCAATGGCTTATCACAACCTCCAACTAGCAGTGCTCATATAAAGCAACAATTGAAACATATTTTCGAATTGAAACGCTTTTCAAAACAGCCCCACTCCAATAAACCTTTGACCCAGGAAGAAGATGGCAAGGAAATTGCATTTTTTCAAAGTGGTGTTTTTTTCAATAAATTTTAACACCAGTGACATGAAATTGAGGGACAGCTGTTCCCTGTAAATTATTTATAATATTTAGTTGATATTTTAGTTTAAGTAGTACACTAAACAACTATACTACTTTCATTTGTATTATGACATTTAAAAGGGGAGAAAAATATATTTTTAACCCAAAATATGTCACTAAACAACGACTCCTGACCCGATGGACAAGCCAATTTCATACTGACCGTAGGCCTATTCTACAATATATATATAAAAAATGGTTTTCAATATAACTGTCTTACATATGTTTTAAGAACAGTAAAACACTTCAGTTAAAACAAAAAAAACAGATATTTTGTGTCATTATCTGACACTTTTAAGTATTTTTTCTGGTGGTTAAGGCACAGGAAAGCCACCATTTTCGTAGAATGACCCTTCTGTATTCCTCCATTTAATTAAAATCGAATAATTGTCCCAAAGAGTGTTTAGTCAGTGATCAACAGCGCCATCTGCTGATTCAAACTTTTCAATATAAGGGGTAAAATATGGCTTGCAGGTCTAGCTGTAATGTAGGCTAGCGTGTTGTTTACCAGCAAAGATAATCCAAAGCGTTTAAACCACTGTTAAAATAAGTGCTTTCACAGTCACAATCTCAACATTTTCTGAATTAATATTTGAATGAATATTTGATGAGAAACACATTGTAAACATACCACACTGTCTATGAAACACACCCATACCGGGTAAACTGGAGAACGCCACATTGGAATGTTCCATTTCGGCCTACAACGGGGGTGTTGTCAGGTTTAGTAAATGTTTATTATTATTATTATTATTATTTATATTGCAAATGATAGATAATGTTCTAGATGCACTTTAAATATTTTATTCTAATATGTGTTGTTCAACTAATAAATCTAAATAATTTTACCTGCTGAAATAATTATTCGCATAGAAATTGCACAATGTGACTGACTGCGCAATGCGCATGAGTTCAGGCAGACATGGCGTTGCGAGGACTGAACGCCTGTGCTCGTATTATACTGACCGATGCGAGCAGAGCAGCAGCAGGAGCACTACAGTCAGACTGTTTAAAATGTCGACATGGAGGTAATGTGCGTATAACGCTGTATTTATTAAATCTTTAGACAATGAGAACATACCATAGAAAGTGGCTCTAAAAGTCAAGGCCAATGTCATTGAGGAGTAAGTTAATAACGTTAGAGCTTATACAAACACAAACATACCGCAGAGTAGAGAATATTGACGTGATTGGTAATACAACACTGTTGTCTCCGCATTGAAGAATGTGTCACCGTTTCCCCCCCTTTTTGTTTACCTGGACTGTTGTTTTTTATTTACATTTTTCTGTCCGTGTTGTATGTTGGAAACACATCCAAGATGGGTTGTTTCCCAGTCAGACTAGGTGAAAAGTGCCCGAAACAGTCTAAAAACGAAACTATCTGGTTTAAATTTTTGATCAGGGTTTAAATGTGACGAAGGTGGTAAAAAAAGAGAAGGGTTTTCAGACAGTAGGTGAGAAACTGACTTGTTTACAAACACTCATTTCAGCCAAACGTCATCTCTTGTCTGAAGATGTGGTGAAGCTGCAGGATTTTCAGCAGACGAAACTTGCTGTTGCCCACCGAGTCACAGGATCAAAAGGCATGCATCATTTGGCTTGATTTATTTGGTACCACTTTCTGGTGTTTCATTACTTCAAAGGTGCACTCAGTCATATTTGTCTCATTAAAAAGTTATACACATAAAGAAATGAATAGAATTTAATAATAATAAAAAAACATTTACACCCACATAAGATTGGATGTCAGACTGCAGTCATGTCAACAAAAGCGGTTTTATTTAACATGAAAGTGGGTGGCCTCATGGGGGCCGACATGAGATTGCATGACCATCTGAGTACTACTATTTTTTTATTATTATTATAAATCTCTATCTCTGTCATCAGACAATTTGACTTGAGTTAATGAATCATGACTGTTGGTGAGTAGTGAATTTCTACAATGGCATTGATCACTGAATCCTGAGTTTATGCTCGATGCTATTAATTTACAATATATGAATGCATCACATGTCCTCAACTGTTGTATTGGCCAGCACAACATAAACAAAAGTGACTGAGTGCACCTTTAACACTCAGAACTGTAACGTAATTGTCTCCCTTTTTTTTACAGGTTATTATTTTGATACAGTACATCAGAAAATAGAGAAAAATGAGCTAATTTTAAAGGATGAATTGAAAATGCTTCTGCATTTATGCCAGTCTGCTGAAGATGTTATTATGGCAAGAAATGCCATTTACAGGTAAAATTGCCTCAGTTATTCCTTATATAGATATGGTTTATATTACAAGGATGTTTACACTACTGTGTTTGGGTAATATGTTTTTTTGTTAAAAGAAGTCTCTAATGGTCACCAAGGCTGCATATATTTGATCACAAATACAGTAAAACTGTGATTAGCTACAATATTGTTGTTATCATTAATTATTGTTTTCTATTTTAATATAAATTAAAATGTAATTTATTCCTGTTATACTCCAGTCTTCAGTGTCACATAATCCTTCAAAAATCCTTCCAATATGCTGATTTGGTGCTCAAGAAAGATTGCTTATTTTCAATGTTAAAAAACAAACAAACAGTTGTGCTGGTTGATTTGTTTTTGTTTTTTGGAAAGGATACTTTGAATAGGTAGTCATTTGTCTTTCCTGTCACTTTTGATCAATTTAATGTATCCTTGCTAATAAAAGCCTTGATTTATTTGAAAAATAAAATAAAAATCTTACTGACCCAAAGATTTTAATGGTAGTGTATGTTTACCCAAGAAGCAAATTTATGGTGTTTTAGTTGCATTCAGCATAATATCCATCTTAATGTTTTTCTACTAGTTAGTTAGTTGGGTTAGTTCACCCAAAAATGAAAATTCTGTCATCATTTACTCACCCTCATATTGTTCCAAACCTGTTCATCTTCCGAACACAAATGAAGATCTTTTTGATGAATTATGAGAGTTTTCTGTCCCTCCATTGACAGCTACGCAACTACCACTTTGACGCTTCAAAAAGTTCATAAAGATACCATAAAACAAATCCATATGAATTTAGCGGTTTAGTCCAAATTTTCTGAAGAGACTCGATTGCTTTAATGAACAGATTACATTTAAGCTTTATTCAGAAAATGTATCAGAACATTTTAAATAAACCGCCCAAATCATATGGATTCGTTTTACAATCTCTTAATTAACTTTTTGAAATGTCAAAGTGTCAGTTGCGTAGCTGTTAATGGGGGACAGAACGTTTTGGGTGAACTAACCCTTTAACACTGCTCTCTTTTTATTTATGTCCATTCCAGGTACCATAAAGAGAATCGTAACATGCCATTTGGGGAATTCAAGTTTGGGCCTCTTTTCATGAGGTTATGCTATGAGCTGGGTTTAGAGGAGCTGGCAGCCACAACTCTGACAGATCCAGTAGGTGAAAATTAACACACATTGTGCAAAAGCAATTCCATTTACTGCATGACCATGCAATAGTGGATGGATTGGATTGTAGTGAGATTTGACATTTTCTTTTTCTTGCTTAGGCTCTCAAAGGATTCTTTCCAGACTCTACATCCTTTAATATTGCCATTGACATACTTTTCACTAAACAGTGCTTCGAAAGTAAGTTTCTTCAGCTTATCTATCTATTCTCATAAAGAATGAAACTTCACGATCAATCAGATAATTTTATTGTGATCTGGTTCGCTTTCCTGTTGGCTTAAAAATGTGTTAGATAAAATAAAGAACTGAAATGTCTCGTATTTGAAAGCCAGCGAGACACATGTTTATCTGAGATTCTTGAGGGAATTAATCACCACAAACAAATCCTTAATCGGTGCAGCTTCCTATCTGCAAAAATGCAAAGAAGTCTGTCTGTTGTTGCCATGGTTTCAGTGGATGACTGATCGTGTTCTCACAGGTGGCCTGGAGGTGGTGGGAGAAATGAAAAAACAAGGAGTGCCGTTCAACAAGGACACCTTCATGCTAGCCTTTGCTACTTGTTATAAACTGGTAAAGACAGTGTAGAAGCAAGTATTGTATGCTTTGTATTAAAAACATCAACCTCCGGTTTTCGCAGGCAAGTCTAAAGCTAGTCCCAGACTAAAATGCAGGTTTGAGCTGTTTTAACTGAAAGCAACCTGCACTGACACATCACAGAATATGTCAGTGCCATTGTTTTGTCTTAAGATGCACACCAGTAATACTTAAATGCCCTAATTGAACTAAGGCCTAATCCTGGCTTAGTCTAAGCCCTGTTTTTGAAACCGGGCCTAAGAGTCACCAATGAATTGCTATAATCCCAGAAAAGATAAATGGTATTTTCAGCACATACAAGAACAATAACAGGTACAATGGGTCAAACCGTCTTGTGGCTTGTTTTTTTTTTGAGCATTAGGTTCTCACTGTAATTTTAAATTATGCTAGTACAACATTTTTTTATAGATGTCATTTATAAACAGTGTACACGTGTTTTTGTACCTTGGAATTGGCAGAACACCTCAAAGTCGTATCATATCTGTTTGACCCTGTTGGAAGAAGGTCAGACAAAAGGCAATATCATCCCTCGACATGCCTATTGCTTTGCAACTGCTCTTGCTCTCAAACAGGTAAGATGATTAAAATGTCAATATCCAATTTCATATGAAAGGATACATCTTACTCGTATGTTATGTAATGCCAAACAAATTAACTGAGTGGGTGTAACATCAAATTTTAGTAGTTAAATGGCATTCAGATGTTGTGAAATTGTAATTGAATCACAGACGAGATTGCATCTTTTGATATATTAACAGTAAATCCTAATTTGATCAATTTGTGAAGTGTTTATTTTTCATTGATGTATGTTGTAGAATGACATAGAGAGAGCCCAGACATTCTACTCGCAGATCATGAGCACGCACAGTCGGCTATGCCAGAACCTGAGAGTAAGTGTGTGTTCAAATCAGTCTTTGAAAGAGAGCTTGCATATGTGTAACCGCTCTGTTTCTAGGTTCTCATATTGGCTAAGAAGGGGTCCATGAAAGAGGCAATCGCTGCCCTCACAGCAGCCCAAGTGTCAAAGACTCCAGTGTTTGTGAAGAAAACAGAGTTCTCCCAGGAAGTGGTGAGATCAGCAACACACCTACAATACTTTTTCTTTATTATTGTTACTCATTCACCATGACTATTACATTTAAGAGTAAAAGTAAAGTCATTCTGTTCAGAGATGCATTTTAAACATTACGAGATTATTAAAGGGATACTTCACCTCTGGAAAGATGAATGTGTATTTAAAATGGGTCATTTATGTAGAAGAAATGTGAAATAATTTTTTAATTTGGAGCTTTCTAGACTGAGAAAAGCCAGAAAATGTATTTTTGGCTTATGTGGATGAAAGACAACAACTCCCAGAATGCACTTGCTTCGCTGCCCTAGGAGGCCACGCCTACCGGTAACGGAGCACAGCACAGTAGTTAAATAACAAGTCTATGCTAGTGAGTCTTCGTGATGAGTCTGCCCGGGATTTCGAGATTGCCCAAAATGTCCGGGATTCGGCTTTTGCGTTCTACAGTCGTCATTCATTATGTTTACTGTGGCGAGCAGGACGAGGCCGGTGGCGTGATTAACGATGAGCGGCCGACACCTGTGAGACGCACCGGTCTCGTATCTCTCACGGAGGAGCGGGAATTTTCTTAGCAATGTTAAAACGCACATCAACCGATCACTTGTTTAGCGTTCATGTAAACACTACATTCAGATTCACCAATCGGAATGAATTCAGTTAGATTGAAACAAAAGGTGTGCATGTAAACAATGAATGGCGACTGCAGAAAGCAAAAGCTGAATCCCGGACATTTTGTACGATCTCGACGGCCTGAAAATAGGCCACCTTCCGTCAACACAACGGAACTATTTTCAGGTGCTGCGTCATATCATTACGCCTGCTGCACTCATGGTACGGCATTGAAGTTTCTTGATTATTACGCAGGAATGAGAGTATAGTTCCTAGCCATACCAGCCTAGAAAATCGCAACTTTACATTTTCCGTCGGTCTTAGTGCACGATGTAACTACAGAAGAGTCAAGTTTTAAATAGGAAAAATATCAAAACTCTTTGGTCATTTTTCTTTAGAAATGCTAATGGTCTTGTCCACTTCAATGATGTATGCTAAGCTATGCTAAAAGTGGTACCGCCAGAACCGGAGATCGGCTGAATGGATTCAAAAACGGTAAAACTCAACAGTTTAACTCTGGGGGAGTTGTAAAATGAGCCTATTTCCAAAAAAAGTGGAGTATCCCTTTAAGCAATTAAGTGGAAATACTTATTAATGACCTTGAGGTACCTTAAGTGGACCCTTGTTTTTTGTTGTTGTTTTTTTCACAACCCATGTTTCACTAAGGGTACCCTTTGCTTTGTTGCAACTAAGCCCAGATCCTCAATTTATAAAAAAAGCCAAACACCTCTTGTATTAAAAGCATTTAAATAAATTAAACCAGAACCGGTTATAAAACGTGTTTTGTGTGTTTCCTCTCCCATTTTCGTCTCTCTCTCTCTCTCCTTTCCGCTCTTTCAGGTTAATGAATTGAGGAAGAAGAGTGCTGGTGGGCTGTGGGAGGGACACGTGGAGCGGGTGGTGAGACAGTTAGAGGAGGCTGGTCAGATCACCAAACAGACCCTTGATGAGATCTTGTGTCACACTCCCTCTAGAAAGGCGAGGCCTCTGGGAATATTGGAGCAGGAAAGAAAGATCAGCCGAAGGACTTTTAAAACTTTGCAGTCTGCATTGCGGTTAGAGTGAATCCAGGGAGTTCAAGACTCTCAGCATTAGTATATTATATTACGAGAGTGAAGGGGTATCCTTGATCTGCACACACCGTAGACGCAGTCCATTCAAGCTCAGTATTTGGCATCATCTACCTCCTGCTGTTTTAAGCCAGTTACTGTTGCCTTGAGTTGTTGAAATCAAGAAAGGAATTTAATCACTTTAATAAAGTGATGTTCCTCTAATTTGGTATCACGTGCATTTTTGTATTCCTTTTTAAAGGGAAATGGAAGAAATGTGAATAGAGAAGCAATCAGGTGATAACTGTGAACCCTCTTTATTTTTCAATCTTAACCAGCAACGTACAACACTTTAAAGTGTTGATAAATGCTATTAAAAAAGTGTTGCTTTATGTCTTCTAAACAAAACAGAGAAGCAAGATGTTCTGCTGGAAGAGAAATGGGCAGTTGATGTGTTTTGTATGTGGTCAGGGTGTCATGCATGCAAGAGATGTATAAAAACGTATTTTATTTTTAATGTGATAGTATTGATTGAGGGTTTGAATACTTTGGCTGTCCATATCCTGAGTTTATCAAAATGCTCATAAGGTGTGGCTGCCTTGAATGTGTTTCCCCAGTTGATATTTCAATAAAAAAAGAAATGGGCAAATAATCAGGTTTTTTATTTATTTAAAATTCTATATTTAAGTTAATCAAATTCTGAAATTGTGGTTTGTGATGAAGTGAGATTTGCTTAACTCTCACGGACATGAAGTCAAGAGTTAAGGGTTTCACTTTATTTTGATGGTCCTTTTAACACATTCTGTTGACTAGTTGCCCCTACATGTCTACTAACTCTCATTAGAGTGTTAGTAGAGTATTAGTAGACTGTAACTACCGGTATGTCAACTTATTCTAACATAAACCTACCAAAGTAGTTATAGTCAGTGGAATGTCTGTCGGAGGAGCAACACACAGAGTTAGCAGGTATTAAGCAGACAGTCTACTTCTCTAATGAGAGTTAGTTGACACGTAGTTGCAAAGTTACTAGTCAACAGAATGTTAAGGGACCATCAAAATAAAGTGTTTCTGAGTTAAGTTTAGCATTTTATGAGGCACTTTTTAGATCTTCGTGGTCATTTTGTCCCATATTATGTGACATTGTTCACAATCACAACACTTCTTATATTACTGTCTCCCTTTGATGAATAATATATTGTTTTTTTATTCATTTTTATACAACAGTTCTCTTTGGTTCTCGCAACTGATTGGCCGAGAGCCTTTTCCAGCCGTGCGATATTCCCCCAGTATCAGCACTTTAACCGTTTCACCGATTGTATCACTCCGCCTGCAACATTTCTCACAGAGAGCGTCATGGCAAACCATCATAGTTTTACAAATACTACGTTTATTGTGTAATGTAGTTTCTAAGAGGTTTTATTTTTATTTTTTAGGTGAGAATGTAGTTATTTAGACCTCAAATATGCAACTTATATATAAATATAGCGCATACTTGTTTAGACGTTTTCTGTGAGCTCCAGACCGTCAAGGTCGTTCAGCGCTCATGTACCTGCGTGAACAGCTTTATCTCGGCCAGTCGTTCAGGAATTTGCAGCTGGCCCTTACAGTCTATGAGCTGGCCCTTATAAAGTTTTAGTTTAAACATGAGGTAGCCTATAATTCATTTTGGGTATGGGCAATCTTTGGTCTTATTAATCTATTCCTTGTTAAAGAGCAAATTGATTTGGCCAAGGGCAAAGTTAAGTTTCATAACTTCATATTTAACTGACAATCTGTTCTATAACTAGCGCTGCTTTTGTACTTTTTAACTGAACAGTTTATTGCTTGTTTTTTTTGCTATTGTACAAACTTATACTTTTATAATGGCTAATTTTTTTTTTTTTTTTCAATATTATATTTCAATAAATAATATATTGTATTTGTATATAAATAACATGCCATATTGAGACGCTCCAGTGATTGTGATTTCAACTTCAGTGAAAGTTGCAATATTATACCTTTAGATGGCAGCAAATATCAGTCAGGGCAGGGGTCAGGAGCTGCTGGAGCAAAGGACTTATAATTGAAAGGGACTGAAACAAGGTTGTAAAGATGCAATTTATGGGAAATCCCCTCAACTGTTAAATGGACAAAGACAAAGAAATCGCTTTTCTCAGCGGAGCGGACATTCAAACTGATTTTGTTATTATGACTGAATATAAGATGACCTGAAGAATATCAGCAAGATGCAGGTAATGGCCTACACACGTTTAGTCGACCTCTTTCTCTCTCTAATAATCTATTACCATAGGCTTCAATGAAACTAACGTTTCTTCATTTCTAGTTCTTAAAGGTGCTCTAAGCGATGTCATGTGTTTTTTAGGTCAAAACATTTTTTGTCACATACAGCAAACATCTCCTCACTATCCGCTGGCTGCCTGTCCCCTGAACACACTGTAAAGAAACGCGATCTCTGTAGACAGCCCATGCTTCACAAACAGCACCAAAAACAAACTGCAGCGACCCGCTCCCCAAAACATAACAAACTGTTCCAGCCAATGACCGACAAGAAGGGTTTGGGGGTGTGGTTTGGGGGGTTAGTGTGCGGATGAGGAGGAGGAGGGAGGGTCTAGCTAGCCTCCGTTTTGTTTGACAATAGTTCGAACGTCAACAAGAAGTGACGTCACCCAGGATCGCTTAGAGAACCTTTAAGTGACATTTGAGAATTAATAAAGGGGGCTTGGTCACAACTGTCAGATTTGAATCCGTAGCGGAAGGAAATAGTTCCACACAAAAGAGGGTGTACAGCCATATCGCACTGCTACTCGTAATTTTGCTAATCTAAATCTCGTTGGATAAAAGCTTTCAAGTTTTTCAGTTAATTCAAATCTCCCCAGTATATAGTGCATCCAAAAAAAGTTAATTCTGTCATCATGTAACGTTACTCACCCTCATGCAATTATGAGTTTTTTTTTAAAACTATTATTCTCATTTTTTATGTGTATATAGCATCTTTATTTTGTTTCGTCTAGTTTAATTGTTGTACACAGAACAATGATGCAACTGTAAATAAATAATTCGCCCAACGTGGGGCTCGAACCCGCGACCCTGAGAAGAGTCTCATGCTCTAAATCCCGTGCAGTGACTCGACGAGCGCTAGGACCCAGGCAGTGCCGTACAGAGGCTTATCGCTGTCGATGTGCGGTGATCCGGGCCAGGCTGAGTCCATGTATGTAAGCTAGCCTAGCGTCACCAACAACCCAACGCCCACGAAACACGCTCATTTCACACGGGTCCATCCACTGTAAACTCTCGCGGAGACCTCATCTTCCGCTCGATAACAGCCGGTCTTGAAGCTGAAGGTCAAGGTAGAGGCCGTTTTTTGATGCGAAAGGGTGTAGATCTGTGCGCCTACACACACACACACACACATACACACACGCACAGAGAGAGAGAGACTCCAGACATAACGTTACAAGATGGAGTGCCAGTGGAAACCCGACGAGCAGGGACTTCAGCAGATCCTACAGCTGCTCAAGGAATCACAGTCCCCGGACACATCAACGCAACGATCCGTCCAACAAGTATCCTTTACCTCACTGTAAAACAGTGCTGAAGGATGTCGGGCGAACGAGAGGATGGCGGAGGTCAGGAGGAGTTGGCCTGTGATTAGCTCATACGTTAGTTGGTGCTTGAGATTTGAAAGACACGCAGTTAGTTATTTAACGTTAGTTTGTTTATTTTGTATCTGTAGATTGGTATGGTGTCAGCAGGTGTATAGCTGCCAGTCGGGGAGTGTTTAAGTTAAAGGGGTAGCAGCTAGTTCACCCAAAAACGAACATCTGCCGTCAGCCTCACGTTATTCCAAAAATGTATGATTTTGTTGTATGTAACATAAATGAAGATATTTTAAGAAACGCCTGTGTTATTATTTTTTTTGTCCGTACAATGGAAGTCAATGGTCACCAAAACCGTTATCAACATTCCTTAAAATATCTTAATTTAATTTTACGCCCCACAGAAGAAAGAATGTCACAATGGTTTAAGACATTGGGGTAACGTTACGTAAATGATGACTGAATTTTCATTTTTTAGTGAACTAGGCTACTATACTTTAGATCAAATAGCGTGTTTAACGTTAGCTGAAACACATATTTGAGATTAATTTCAAACAGTCATCTTATCTAATAAATGAGGGTTGTGCGCAAAACATATGTTTTACAGTAATTTTGGGCATCATAGGCGCGTTTGTAACACTTCATACTGAAATGTTGTCTAGGTAGGCTGCTCGCTGCTCACTGTTATGAGACGCAGATTAGACGGACCTCCATCTGCAGTGGCGCGAGTATTATCACGATTTTCTGTCACATAATCGGATGCAGCTCAGACAAAGACATCTGACATTGGCGATGTTTCAGCCTTTATTCCACATTGGGAGAGAAGTGAGGAAGATGTGTCAGTGGGTGAACTGTGACGCCCCTTCATCTAGCAAATCATGCATCGTCTTTTGTCCATCAGAACGCTATAAAAATGCTTTACTAAAAACCTTTACGACATTTTAAGCTTTTAAATGTCAAAGACCATTTTCAAAATTTCAGGTAAAATGAATGTCACAACAGATATATCCAGGTATATAATACGTGTCATATATTTTTGCTTTATTTTATTTTATTTATATGAAAAAAAAAAAGGCATTGCTCAAAATATTTTCATTTATGTTCCACAGAAGAAAGAAAGTCATATAGGTTTGGAAAAATGGATGAGAAAATTATATGACAGAATTTTATTTTTGGGTGAACTGTCCCTTTAAGCTTTTTCTTTAAATGGTAGCTGTGGCCATATATCTATGGCTCTGAGTTAGTTCTTCTATGCCACAGGTGTCCAAACCTGGTTCTGGAGGGCCACTGTCCTGTAGAGTTTAGTTCCAACTTGCTTCAACACACCTGCCAGGAAGTTTCTAGTATGCCTATACGATCTTGAATAGCTTGTGTAACGGACGTAGGCCTGTCTTTAGCTTCCTTTTTTGTGCACACGCCTCCCACACCGGAGACTCCAGTTCGAATTCCGCTCGGAGTGGGTCAAGTAGGACCAGTTACACTGGTTCAGGTATGTTTAATTGGGGTTGGAGCTAAACTTTGCAGAACAGTTGCCCTCAAGGAGTAGGATTGGACAACCCTTTACTATGCACTTTCTACACCAGCGATGGGCCATGTCAGTCCTGGAGTGCTGCTGTCCTGCAGAGTTTAGTTCCAACCCTAATCAAACACACCTGAACAAGCTAATGCCCTGTACACATTGTACCATTTTGGGGTGTCCCAGACGAAAGATGACCAATCGTGCCAATTTCTGTGGTCGTGGCTCCTAAACGGTGGTCCTACACCGTACAGTGAGAGAGGTTCAAAGATGGCCGTTGTCACAGTCTTGCGACCAAAGATAATCTGTGATAATTTTCTGACAGGGTCAGAAATTTAGCATGATCATCTCACAGTGTGTTTGCTGCTACGACCTACGTCTACTGACTAGCTAACAAAAATGCAACAAGAAATGGTGTATTGATCAACGCGACATGGCACTAAAACTTAAAGGGTTAGTTCACCCAAAAATGAAAATGATGTCATTAATGACTCACCCTCATGTCGTCCCAAGCCCGTAAGACCTCCGTTCATCTTCGGAACACAGTTTAAGATATTTTAGATTTAGTCCGAGAGCTTTCTGTCCCTCCATTGAAAATGTATGTACGGTATACTGTCCTTGTCCAGAAAGGAAATAAAGACATCATCAAAGTAGTCCATGTGACATCAGTGGGTTAGTTAGAATGTTTTGAAGCATCGAAAATACATTTTGGTCCAAAAATAACAAAAACTACGACTTTATTCAGCATTGCATTCTCTTCCGGCCGCGTTCAGCCACGTTCAGTGACGCTGCTGACGTGTAATCTGGTGCGCCCGAGCTTCGTTTACAGTCTGAGGGAGACGCACGCTGTAAACAAAACAATCTTAGCAAACATGTCTAAGGGTTTCGACACAGAGGAAGACTTGCATTTTTTTGCCCAGCCATATTTATTTGAACCCGAATTCACGGAAGCACCAGATGACACGTCAGCAGCGTCACTGAACGTGGATTGACAACAGAACCGGAAGACAATACAATGCTGAACAAAGTCGTAGTTTTTGTTATTTTTGGACCAAAATGTATTTTCGATGCTTCAAAACATTCTAACTAACCCACTGATGTCACATGGACTACTTTGATGATGTCTTTATTTCCTTTCTGGACAAGGACAGTATATCGTACATACATTTGACAGAAAGCTCTCGGACTAAATCTAAAATATCTTAAACTGTGTTCCGAAGATGAACGGAGGTCTTACGGGCTTGGAACGACATGAGGGTGAGTCATCAATGACATAATTTTCATTTTTGGGTGAACTAACCCTTTAAAACTACACTTACCTCAAGCTCCATTTGCAAAATTGGCATGCCAAGTTGGCTCCTTTTCCCTAGCCATCCCACCCCTGCTCTACAGAATTATCTCAGATGATAGCAGACTTACTGAATTATTTTGTATTATTTTCATTTTTTAATGCATTTAGGCTACTCAATATCGATGTTTGTGTATTATTTTTTTTTTTTAAATTAGCTCATTTAAATGGCCTTTTGTCCCAAGTATATTTTATTTTATTTATATAAGTAATTTATACTCAATGTTAAATTATATTCACACATCATCATTTGCGTATTAACCATTTGCTCATATATTCATAGGTTCATTCATTGATGCAATCATCCATCCATTGTAAACAGCATGTGGTTAGTCCATAAAGTACGTGCACTGATGCACATTTCCCCTGCTGTTTGTATTATCCTCTGTCTCTGTGGTCTGGATGTCTTTCCTTAATGTTCACCACAGAAACTTGAGCAGCTCAATCAATACCCGGACTTCAACAACTACCTAATATTTGTGCTCACAAAGCTAAAGACGGAAGGTAAGATGTGCATGTTAACATTAACTTATTGTATTACGCTTGATTTATAATTTTGATTTGGGATGTGAGAGTCAAGCATCTGGATAGATATGGGTCATGTTAATTTGAAAGCCTATAACCTTTTGATTTTTACGTAGGCACATTGTGTGATGGGAGGCACTGCTAGTAGGTGCAGGAAATGATCTTTTGTCAGTCTGCATGGTGGTTGTTGCAGTTTATGAGGTTTGACATGACAGGTTGTGTGACTTATATTGCTGTTTCTGGAAGGGAGTTGAGTCAGGCAGGATGACGCTCAGTTCTAGGTGTTTAGTCTCTGTAGTGTCTTCTGAAGCCAGTGTCTTTATAGCTGGTGTGACTTCAGGTCAGTGGTAATCTCTGTCAAGTGCACTGGGAGCTTAGCTGCACTGACCTTTTGAATCTGTGTCCTCCGTCAAGCCCCAGGTCACAGAGCATGTTTTGAAACGACACAAGTTCATCTGCCAAGGTTTCTCCCTCTTTTTCCTGAATTAGCCCAAGGTCCATTTAAAAACAGAAGGTTCTTTATTAAGCATCTACCAAACCAGTTCAGAGCTGAACAATAAGGTTTGTTTCAGTGAGCTGTAGTTTGATTTTAAACACAATTTGTTAACTTTTATTTTATTTTAAACAACATATTTTTATAAGTGTCAAAATAATTTGTTATAATATAATATAAAAACAGAAGGTCCTTAATTAAACATCCACCTAACCAGTTGGCTCAACAGTTAGGATTGTGCAGTGTGGGCTGTAGTTTTGTTTGTTTTAAACACATTTTTAAACAACTTATTTATATTTATATTTAAACGGAAGGCACTTCTTTATTAAGCATCCATGCAGTGCGTTTTAATTATTATTTTAATAATTTAATTATTATTATTAACTAAGGGATAGTTCTAGCCTGGGAAAACCCAGACAACTTCCGGCAAATTTAGATTTGCTCTGAAAGTTAGTCTGGCAAAGAGCTCATTCAAGCTCATTTCCAATCCGCCGAAATCCCGGCACCAACCAGAAACGTTGGGGCGGTCTTTACACGATGACGACAGCGCTGGGATTTTGAAGCAGATTTTGTAGCCTACATTACAAAGATGGATGCCGCCGTCGAACATCATTCATTCGAATCCGCTATCTCGTCTGTTTTAAGCGATTTGAACGTTTCCTTTTTGTTAAAAACGGAGCAAAGAACAACACTCGGAGATGTTTCTCCGCCGCTCTGCATACGTCATCTCCTTCATCGCTCTGATTGGTTTAAGGTCTATCCGCGACGTCCGTTGGTGACGCCCCTCTGGAAATGATTTGTCTATGACGCTTTGCCAGACCATAACTCAGTTACAACTGAGATGGTCTGGTTTTAACCAGGCTAGGATAGTTCCCCCAAAAATGAAAATTAGCTCATGATTTACTCACCCTCAAGTCATCATTGACATTCTTCTTACAATACATCGGAGTTATATTAAAAAATGTCCTGGCTCTTCCAAGCTTTATACTGGCAGTGAATGGCCGTTTCTGTTTTGTAGTCCATCAAAGCGCATCTATCCATCATAAAAGTGCTCCACACGGCTCCGGGGGGTTGATATATTGATCAGCCTTCTGAAGCGAAGTGAACATATTTAACATGTTACAAAGTAAAATTCTAGCTTCCGGCCAAACGGCCATACGCAGTCTACTTGCGCCTAAAGCGCAACTTACGCAACTTGTGACGTCAGAGGTAGTGTTGTGTGTCATGGCGTAGCGTAAATATCAGCAGTACGTCGCATTACTCACATAAGTTATGCTGTAGGCTTAAGTGGAATCCGTATGTTCGTTTGGCCGGAAGCTAGATATTTTACTTTGTAAAGTTTTAAATATGGATATTTTTCTTAAACTCATCGCTTCGCTTCAGAAGGCCTTTATTAACCCCCCGGAGCCGTGTGGAGCACTTTTATGATGGATAGATGCACTTTGATGGACTTCAAAACAGAAACGGCCATTCACTGCCAGTATAAAGCTTGGAAGAGCCAGGACCTTTTTTACTATAACTCCGATTGTGTTCGTCTGAAAGAAGAATGTCATATACAACTATGATGAATTGAGGGTGAGTAAATCATGGGCTAAGTTTCATTTTTGGGGGAACTATCCCTTTAAGCCACATGTTTTTGTTTTAAATTTGTAATAATACATGTATTCTCTTATAATATTAGTTACAGTTTATCCCTGCAGTTGTTTGTGTCTTTCTTTCCTTTAATTCTAATCTTGGCCTTTGCCGAGGGCTGTATTTTCCACCCAGTCTGAAAGTAATGCTTTTCATCCTTTCTTTCTCATAGATGAGCCTACTCGCTCTCTCAGTGGCCTCATTTTGAAGAACAATGTTAAGGCCCATTACCAGAACTTCCCAAACGGCGTGTCTGACTTCATCAAAAATGAGTGTCTGCAGAACATTGGAGACTCTTCACCGCTCATCAGAGCCACAGTGGGTGAGTATGGACCGACAGAACTTTTATTTATCTGGCTCTGAGCCAAAGCGTTTACCATCATGATTTGAACAATATTATGCCTTAGGGGTCTGTGTATAGCTTTTATTGACTACGTGGTACAAATCCGATTTTTGTGCATATCCGATTGGAATCCGATCTTAGCAAGTGTGAATGGCAAAAAATCACATGAAATCCGCTTCAAGCTACATTCATATGGTTTGAAATCCTATTCAAATTGCATTTCTGGAAATCCGTTTCAGTCTGACCGCTCTGATTGGGTTTCGCATGGTTTATGTGACATTTTGACGGCACGTAATACGTAAACGTCAGACGTTGTTATAGGAAACATGTTGAAAGTCGCTGCTGAAACAAGGGTGTGTTGTTGCAAAGTGCCAGACGAGCATTGGCATGAACACACAAATCGGATCGGAACAGTTGCGATACACAGTGTGGACACTGGACAGTCAATCATTTTTGATCAGATTCCAATTGGATACACAAATAATCGTATTTGGTCCTATGTCTGACACAATGTGTCTGAATTAGCTGCTTTTTGTGATTGTGATTAGACTGTGAAGAGGTATATGCAGTGCTGTGTTTCTATGGTTACCCAGCATCTTGCAAAACAACATGAAATGTATAATTCATCCTCTACTTGTTTATTTGGTTTGAAAATTGTCTTTTATGAATGTCTTCCCACACATTGATGAATACAGTAATGGCCAAAAGTGATATCTGCAGGAGATATTTGTTTTTAATGACCCTTAGTTCGATTAAACCATCACCATATGAGGCAAAGTATTTATTTTTGTAAAATATTTAAAAAGTAGTAGTACAAAACACTAAACTTGTTTAAGGTATTTATCTGGCAAAATTATTTACAGCTACAGGTTTTATTGTACTATGCAAAAAAGAAAATGCATAGAAAAACAAAAAAGCTCACAGGAAAAAGCATGCTCTGACAACAACATAATCAGTTATTAATATTTTGATGGTTCTCTCTTGTTTTTGCATGTGTTTGTATGACAGTCTGACCAAAAATTTGGCATATTTCATTGCGATCACAAATAATGATACAAAAAATATTCCAAGCGCAACTACACAATATGCTTAAATCTTCAACACATTTTTAATAATATTTGAATAAATGGTGAAGATGTAAATTTTTCGAGGCCGGACATGACTTTTTATCTATCTATCTATCTATCTATCTATCTATCTATCTATCTATCTATCTATCTATCTATCTATCTATCTATCTATCTATCTATCTATCTATCTATCATCTAAAAACTGTACTCAAAAGTACAAGTACTTATAGAAATATTTACTAAAAGTAATAATCTTAATAGTTACTTGAGTAAGAGTAAAAAAGTATCCAATGAAAAAACGACTCAAGTAGCTAGTTACTAGTTACTTCGGATCAAATAGGCATATATATAATAACGTTATTATTTAGATATTTAATTTGATTAGGCATTTAATTTAAATAATAATAATTATCATAATTAGATGGGCTATCTTTGCAACAAACACAGAAGATACAAGCATTATTTCTATCATCTGTAGCCCCAAAATCATTGCATGTTCTTTGGTTTGTATAAAAAAATAACTTATACAACTACATTTGCATTATTAGACAATGTCGAAATAGTGAACATGCAGAGTTTTGTTTTCAAATGCATGTAAAGGGAGCCACATGGAGAAGAAAGAGTTAAAACTCTTCGCATGTGCTCGCGCCCATGACCGTTACTGAACATCTGAACACAAACAACAATCAAATGCACATCGACGGATCTTCTTCCGTCTGTTCCTCAATGTAATCAAATGTATCTAATATTTCTCCAGGCGCGTGTAAACTGGTTAACTATGTCTAAGCAAAGGCGTTCATTTTCAAGACGAACAGGTGACCGCCACTGCGCAATACACACAAACTACTGCGGGTTGGCGGGTGTTCATTTCATACTCTGTGAACAATGGTATCTTATTTAATTAATGTATAAATTAAGGTATGTCCAAAAAACTGGTAATACTGGTCATACTTTCTAGTAGTGGTATCGTGGCATAATAATCTGTTTGGTTGTAAAATGTATTACCTGAATGGAATGAAATCGAATATAGTTCTACCTGTGGAATCGTTCACAGACAGCATATGCAGATGTTCCACTAATTAAGATCTTCATCACTTGCAAACAATAGGATTTTGCAAAAACATTTGCTTTTATTGACTGTAGGTCCACGGCCACTTCATCCAACGCTCTTAATTTCCTATTACGACTCCGAGTGAGAAACCGATTCAGATGATTCAGTGCGTGCAGGAAACGCATCATTCAAACTGATTAGCTGATTACTGATCAAGTCATTGAACAGAATCGACTTAAACGAGTGATTCATTTGTGAATGAGGCATCGCTCATGCCCCAGAAAAAAGAGACCGCACGCTTGGAATAAACTATGCTTTTCTTAACATGTATTGCATCAAATTAAAGTAACGAGAGGAATGTCGCCCAGCGTAACGAAGTAAAAGTACAGGTTTTTTTTCATTAGAAATGTACTCAAGTTAAAGTAAAAGTACCCACATTTAAATCTCATCTTAAAAGTACAAATTTTCCCCCAAAAATACTCAAGTAAATGTAAAGAAGTAAATGTACTTCGTTACTACCAGTACCCACCTCTATATGTCTATCTGTGATCACCATTTCAGTTGTATCCGGAACTTTCCATGGCCATCTCTCGTCATACACAGAGAGACTGTCCATTCATTTTCTAAAATGCTATACAGACTAGTCTACTGTAAATGGTGCATTATGTGCATATGTTTGTGTTCTTCAGGTATTCTGATCACAACTATAGCCTCTAAAGGGGAGTTACAGAATTGGCCGGAGCTTCTACCTAAACTCTGTTCACTGCTGGACTCAGAGGACTATAACACTTGTGAAGTAAGATGCACACACTCTTTCTGAAGCTGTCTGCAGTCCTTTCTCTCCTCCTCGTGTTTCTCGCATTATCCTATGTTTCTTTCTCTCTTTGTCCCTCTAAGTGGAGCTGTGTGATGATGGATGTTGCGGACTTCTCATTTAAACCTGTAGTGTAGCTCAATGCTTCATGATCTAAGCTCTCAGCAGTATATCTGAGGTTTGCTGATACACATGAACTGCAGCATTTCTCCACAGGGAGGTTTCTCTGCTTGGCTTCATGATGTGAAAGGAATGTGATCATCAAACTGCCCTCTGTGGGATTTTTACATCTGTCATTGATTTAGTTGGTTTGTTATTGGTCTCTGTGTTTGGTTGTAATGTTTTGTTGAAGATTGTTTCAAGCTTGTGTACAAATACTTAGTTTGTAATATGTTAGTTCGGATGGTTGTGTTCTTGAGCAGCAAATCAGCATATTAGAATGATTTCTGAAGGATCATGTGACACTGAAGACTGGACTAATGATGCTGAAAATTCAGCTTTACAATCACAGGAATACGTTACATTTTAAAATACTATTCATAGAAAAGTTATTTTAATTGTAATAATATTTCACAATATCTTCAATTTCTGAATAAATACAGCCTTGGTGAAAATAAGAGACTTCTTTTAAAAACATCAACACATCTTACTGGCCCCAAACTTTTGAATGGTAATGTAAATAGGCCTAATTAATAATAATTCAAAAATATTATAATTTTATTTAGCAAAAATAACAATCCGCTATAGGGTGCTGTGCAGTGATATGGTCAACAGGTGTTTTACATCTTATCTGCTACTATTGGTATTGGTGCGTTCACGGCACACTGTCATAATTACCGTAATCATGAGATTCTGATATGAATTCTTTTTACAAGTTAAAACCCTGATTTGGTTGATTTGTCCTCTCACAATTATTAGGTAATAATATTGATATTCGACATAGTGTGAATGTGTACGCACCATATATTATACATATTTTGTGGGCGGCAGTGGCTCAGTGGTTCATGTGGGTTGTCTACAAACCGGAAGGTTGGTGGTTCAATCCCCGGTTCCACCTGACCAAGTGTCGAGGTGTCCATGAGCAAGACACCTAACCCCAGCTGCTCCCGACGAGCTGGATAGCGCCTTGCATGGCTGCCGTCGCCCGTCGGTGTATGAATGAGTGAGTGAATAGGTGAATGTGAGGCAAATTGTAAAGCGCTTTGGTGGCCATTGGGTCAGTGAAAGCGCTATATAAATGCAGTCCATTTACCATTTACCATATTTTGCTAGAATGCTATATTGACCATTTAGAAGCTAGAACTGGATCAATCTGTTTTTATAAATTTGTAATAGCAAATATATAAATAAAACATTATTTATTATTATTATATACGTACATTTAGAGACTAGTTTCAGTCCCCACTGTCATTATCTATGCAATAACATTAGTATCCCTTTGGACGAATTTGATTTGCTGATGCATGTACGTAAAACTCTTTGAGCCCTGAGCATCTGGACTCAAGGCTAAGCAGCTGAAGTTTTGGCATTAGGTCAGTACAGTGTGCATGTACCCATGCGCACACAAACCTATCTCTGTTTTGATGTTGCATAGATTAAGATTGCAAATTGGAGGTTTGGCCTTTAATATAGGGAAATGCTTTGTAAAATTTGCTTTACCAGTTTCTGTGTTCTAAGTACAGACATACCCCTGGTGAACCCACACTTGTCATCCCGAAAATAGGACTTTTATGTGCCTGTGTGCAGTAATTGAGTAAATTTTATGTCACACACCCACACACATGAACTCGCAGTACAATGCTCTGCCCTGTGTGACTGCGAGACACTTGCTGAGCAGGCTTGTTAGCACAGATTGAGGCCAGTTATTTTCTACTGGGGAGATCAGATGTGATCACAGGTTTGGAGACTGTGCACTGCACACTTTCAGACTCTCCTGTCCTTCTCCTACATGACAGTGCTGTTCAACAGTCCACATTAAAAAATCGAATTGAATATGTCTAATTTAAACCTGTAAATTAGACTAAGTTTTAGGGTTTTGAAGTGTTACATAAAAAGAGAAATAGACATTAACTGTAAATTGTACAAACGATTTTCTCATGAGAGGGGATGAATGAATAACCAAGATATTCTGAAATTAATGAATTCAATTCAGATTTAACTTAAATTGTCATGATGATAATATAATTTTTGAAAAAAAAAAAAACTTAGAACAAGTTATAAAAACGCAAAATAGGTGCATGTTTGAATGCCACTGTATATGTGAATTAAATTATTTTTTGTTTAAGTTTATGTCAGTAAGATTTCTTTTTAAGAATGACTACTTTTATTCAGAAACGATACAAAAGTTAATGTTTAAAATTGTATTTTTGATTAGATAAATGCAGCCTTGGTGAGCATAAGAGACTTTTTTCAAAAACATTAAAATATTTATACTGACTACATTTTTTTTTTAAGAAAAGAAAAAAAACTTTAGTTAGTCTGTTTTACCTAGACTGTATTACAAATATTTGTTCTTATTTTTTAATGTGTCAAATTACATGCACATTACATTGCTTGGGGTGTGTGTGTGGAATGTCACACCCTCTGCCTGTAATTATTGGCAAATCCTGATGCAGCATGCGGTCTGACTATGTAGAATATGCATCTGTAATTAGGGGTGTGCATGTGCCTGAAAGATGCAGTTACATCAAAGTTACTTGTGAGGAATCTCTCTTACATGCCCATGCTATCTTTCAATGAAATGCAGTCCTCCACAGCTATGCATGTGCTCCTCTAGCTCAACTGCTTGGAATATGCTGAGCACCATGCCAGAGACATTATATGGGGGAGGAGGAGACGAACCACTCGTAGATAAATGTATGGGAGAAATATTAAGCCTCAATATAGTGGCAGGCAGCAGGAATGAGAGTCTGCCTTTTAATAGTTTATTTACTCCTGAATGTGCATTTAATGTATCCACCTGGAAATTACAGCATATAGTGTGATTTAAGCTCAAGAAACTAAATATATTATACTGCTACTGCATTTCTTATTTTAAATATATTATTGACACACTCTAAACACTTTTGGAGATTTTAATCTTTTATCTCTTCACGTAGATGTGCTTGAATGCCTATTACTTGCATAGAAAATAGATGCCCAAGATGAACTGACTTGACTTAGAATTAAACCCATGACCTAGTTTAAAGTTTCTATGAGGAACCATAAGGAGTAAAATAAGCAGCTGGCAACTTAGCTGTGTGTGTGTGTGTGTGTGTGTGTGTGTGTGTGTGTGTGTGTGTGTGTGTGTGTGTGTGTGTGTGTGTGTGTGTGTGTGTGTGTGTGTGTGTGTGTGTGTGTGTGTGTGTGTGTGTGTGTGTGTGTGTGTGTGTGTGTGTGTGTGTGTGTGTGTGTGTGTGTGTGTGTGTGTGTGTGTGTGTGTGTGTGTAAAAAGGAGAATGCATCCATCCACCGCTGTGATCTTCTAGTTTGGTTGTGGCATGTGGGTACTCATGTTGCTACATGAAGTCTGAAGCAGTTGAGAGACATTTCCAGAATGTCAGGGATGACTTTATTTAGCTTGGGCAGAGTGGTTTTGCTCTTTGTAATGGGTTTAACGTCCAGAGATGTCATATGTTGTTATCTAGTTGGCATGGTTAAGATGATTCTGACCTTTGAATCATAGTTTATTGGTTTAGTGCATTTCACACTAATTACTAATAGAGGTCGACCAATAGTGGATTTCACCAATAACGATAACTAGGTTGGACCATGCCGACCGATAACCGATTAATCCACCGATAGTTTTTTATATGGATGCTGAATGAAAACAAACATAACACATAAAATAGTGCTGAACGATGACCATCTTTAAATATCTACACAAACGCCATAGCATTGAAATTAACACATTTACTCACAATTTATTTGCTTCTATTTTAGAACACTTGATGATTTTATCTAAGGAAAATAACAAAATATGTATTACAGTGACGATAAAAAAAGAACTAAAATCGAATGCTTTTCTGATTCGTTTATATGTTTCTGTTGGCTGCCTGCATGATGATAGTTTGCTTTCTCATGACACTAGCTTTAAATATGCAACTTCACAGTAACATTTTTATTTTACCCTCCAGACTTTTTTCATGGAATGCAAGAACAATGCAAATGAACAAATTCTACATATATAATATAAAATTTAAATTTCAAACACTGTTAAAGACAAGTAAACAGTGTAATAAAATAACAAATAATCAAACGTAAAAATATAGTAGTCAATGAATAAAGTAATCAAATGTAAAATAACACTAAACACTGTAAAATAGCATAGTCTTCACTGTATAAATTAAATATAGATTAGCCTAATCCTTATTATAGTTTCAAAAGTTTTGCAGTCAAGAGCATGGGGTGATTTTTTAAAAATTTGTTTTGTAGTGTAGTGAGTCTTTTGTTGTTTGATTAACATTAAAAACCGACAGCAGCAGGTAGTATATTAGGCTGATGTCACTGTAAGACAATGCATTCATCATTCTGATACTGTTACACATGCGTTTTCTATCTCGAATGTTTACATTTACTAAAGACATAACCGACTATGTTTATTAGGATACTTGCCAAGACGGGCATCAGTTCAAGTGCAAGAAGACATGAAAGAGCTCAAATAAGTATTTGCGTCCTGTCAGACTCTGCTTTCTGTCAGACCCGCACGAGTTATCTTTTGTGTCTTCTTGCGCTTGAATGTTTAAATTGGCAAGGCTAAAATATTATAAATATGCAAATGATAAACTTTCATGACAATGCAGCACGGCCCCGATCGGGACAGTGACAGTTCTGTCAACTCTTGGCCATCGAGCAGTCCTGTCGAGCCCTGCATTTAGATCTAGCTCGTCTATTCTCTTTACGTGGCATGTGTAAAAGCCTCTCTCTTTCTCTCATGTTGAGTGCGCGAGTGTGAAAGAAAGCGACAGAGGGCGCTCTCAGCCAAACGACGGTGCGTAAAGCTCAGCAGGCAGTGGGTCTCATTCATGAAATATTCGTAAATATACGAGTAAATATGCGAGTGATTTGCGCGTAAAGAGACCTTCCCGAAAACTCTTCTCCTGATTCACAAATACTTCTTAAACGTCAGATGTGATAGTGAAATGTGTGTGTGTGTGTTAATGAATTCCAATCAGTCGTAAATGGGATGCGCGTGCACGTTCATTCTCAATTACCATAAATCCCGCCCATTAAATCTAGCTGACAACTATATATGGGCATCATATGACATGAATGCGAGAAAAAAAAAATTCTCAGATGCAGAAATTGAAGTTTTATTATCAGAAGTTTATTCAAAACGCCACATTTTATTTTCAAGCGTACATAGTGGCGTATCGGGTCCTAAAAAAAGGAAGCATGGCAGCATATTAGATGCAGTTAATGGAGTTTCATCTGTTAATCGAACATTCCCAGAAGTGAGAAGAAAATGGTTCGACATTAAGCTTGAGAGCAAAAAACGAATTAGTTCACTTCGGAAAAATAGTATTTAAACTGGAGAAGGACCACCATCGCAGATGCTATTACTGGCTCTCATAATAAGAAAAACCGTATGTAATTATAATATTTTTTCAAAATGCTGTGCAAATATGTACCTGATTAAGGTGAATTAAAATGCAGCCTTATTAATGAGCAAAACGTTCGGGTGTTAAGCGCACTATTTACGCGTGGCTGGGAGCAGGTGTAGATTTCTTGTGTACCAACTAACATTTGGAAAATACGAACATTTTAATGAATCCGAAAATTTACGCCAGCACCACTTTACACACGATTTACACAAAAATTCGTTCTGCTCGTGTTTCATGAATGAGACCCATTGAGATTATATCTGTGCTAAACTTATTTTTTGCTTCTAACTCGATCACAGACAATTGGAATCAAACAATTTTCTAGCCATTGGCTAATTAAAGACACATTTTTAATCACCTAGCTTGAAATTTGGTCGCATATGTGAGTGATTTACTCACATTGTTGAGGGTTGCCTAAGTTATTGGAACTGTGACTTTAATTGTCTTCCGCCTGTAAAGTGTTAGTATTAAGGACTGTTCCACATGCGCAATTGCGCATGTACAATAATTGTTTATAATTCATTGAAAAACCCTTTCTAATAAATATTTGTAAAGCTTATTTGGATTTTACATAATTACCTTTAAATTACAGTATTCTGAAAATCCATAGTCTTTGGTTTTAACCTTGAGAGACGAGAGGCTTCCTCTCTGTGTTCCTCTCAGCTCAAAATGTGCCATCTCTGAAAAAGTGCAAGCTGACAGTGGATACAGTTGCCATAGCGACAGCGAACCAGACAGCTCGTTGCCACGGCGCCGTTTGTGCTCGTGACCTGATTAGATTCCTTACAGGTGGAACGTCTGTGAGATCAGGAGGAAGCTTGATGGTTTGGGTGGGTCTGGCTTTGGCATTGTTCTCTACCAGATCCTTTTCTCTGAGGTTTTGAAAGTTGTTCAAGACTGAATTTAGCTGGTTTAAATCACTTAATAATTTAGCGAAATTAGCTGCATGTCAAAATATATATTAAAGTATATTTTATTCATTCACTAAGTGTGGAAAAAAAAAAAAAGTAAAAGATTTACATTTACATTTATCTGACGCTTTTATCCAAAGCGACTTACAATTGCTAAATATGTCAGAGGTTGCACGCCTCTGGAGCAACTAGGGGTTAAGTGTCTTGCTCAGGGACACATTGGTGTCTCACAGTGGATTCGAACCCGGGTCTTCCACACCAAAGGCATGTGTCTTATCCACTGCGCCATCACCACCCATCACCAAAAGATAATTGCAACTTTTTATTTCAACATTTGAATGAAAAAAAGGTGCAATTTTAACTTTACTCGCGATTGCGATCTCACAATTCTGACTTTATAACATGAAACTGCAACTCCATATCACGCAGTTCTGCGAAAAAAAAGTCTCAATTACCTTTTTTATTTTTATTTTTTAATATTTTTTTACAGTGACAGAAACAAGCTTAAGTTGACCTCATAAAGGTCAACAGCCTCACCAGCCGTAAATCTATCAATACTTGTAGCGCTACAAGCAGGGTTAGCTTAATCCATGCATGGGCCTATGTACAACAGTTAATATATTGACAATAATAATTAATACGAAAAAGTACTATAATTATTATTTTTGATATTATTATTAATATTTATTATTTTCTCTCACTCACATATACTGTGTACAGGCTATGAAAATGTCAATTTGTTTTGCAACAAATCTATAAATTTGTCCAGGGTAGCCAGGTCCGTAGTGCCTACTGAACAGATCACTGTCCAAGACCCACGTTACTCCAATGAAGATTTCAGTTATTACCCTGAGAAGATGTTTCCTTTCTGTATGGGTGATTATATGTTGAGTTGTATCCTTGTGCATTGGTGTAAGAGTTGATTTAAAAAAAAAAATTATTCTTTACTGTCCAGTTGCTTAAATATGGTTAAAAATGATTACGCCCTCTCTGTCTCTCTGCCACTACAGTATTTCCCAGGTTCTACTATAAACTCTCCCTTAAATGAATGATTTTGGCTGTCTGCTTTGCATGTCACCTTCAGTGTAGACAGTCCATGAGCCAGCAGTGAGCTTGAGGCAACGGCAAAAGTATTATATTTTATTTTCAGCAGCACTGGCTGCACGTCATGCCAAAAATAGAAATGGCGTGTCTGTTAGCTGAAGGCCCCTGTGTCACAGTCTGACATTCATTGCTGGTTTGGGCAGTTTGATTGATTGTAATGGAAGCATTTTAGATAAAACAATTTGAGGTTGTTCAGTGTAAAGGGGAAATATATGATTTGTCTCTGTTCCATTCCTGCTGTGTTTGTCCTTCAGGGGGCTTTTGGAGCTCTGCAAAAGATCTGTGAGGACTCTGCTGAGATCCTGGACAGTGACATGCTGGACCGCCCGCTCAATGTGATGATCCCGAAGTTCCTGCAGTTTTTCAAGCACAATAGCCCCAAGATCAGGTAAGACAAGCATGTGTTCCCTGATGGAGCATAGCTGTATGAAACCACATTAACACAATAACATAATAACAATATTATTGTGATATCTATAGAAAAAAAAGGAAGGAAAAAATATCATTTTACGCAATTAAAAAACTCCCACACTGTCTTGCTTTTGTCTGTCATCTCCTCCAACAGGAGTGTCTAACGCCGCCCCGTCTTTTTTACGCAATCCAAAAAAACTCCCACACTGTGTCTTGCTTTTGTCTGTCATCTCCTCCAACATGATTTTGTGCATATTGGCTAAACATTGGAAGCTTCTCAATTGGAAGTCTGCATCCTAGTGAGGCTGTGTCCTTCCTAGTCCAGTCCTTCTGAGGCTTGTAGACTACAGTAGGGCTGGGCGATATATCGCAATATAATTTTCCTAGATGAAATCATAACAAAAGTTTAATAAGTGCTCGATATAATGTTTGTGCACTATGCAGATAATGCTGCGCATGCATGTTGCAGACCGTCGCATTGATAAGCTCTGCCATTCCTGTTGCGTCAGAGCTGGCTCGTTTGAACCGCGCGCCTTATGGAAATGTTAACAGTTCGGCTCAAAACACACCGCAGCGTGAGCTCAGAGCGAACGCAATTTCTCATTGACCATCTCAATCATGCGACCACTAAACGCGCTCTGAGATCCTGTGAGAAGTGCTTGAGTTCGGTGCAAAGTTCTCTCATACAAACCACAAATCAAAGGCCTCGTGATTTAAACCAGACGAAACAGCTCTGACATTAACAACACTGATGCCGAAAACAGAAGAAACATAAAGCCACGATATAATGTAGTTACTGTGCATTTCTAAGAGACAAAAATGTCATTTTAATTTGTGAAATGTTCACCTTGTTTGGTGAGTGTTTGCCATGTTCTGATGATAAAAACTGGTCTGGTTTCTACAACTTTTACTCAGGAGCAAAAATCGGCCTTTAAACATGAAAGAAATACAAATTTGAGATTTATCTTGATAATTACTGATATGAAAATTTTTGGCCACTTTGCCCAGCCCTAGACTAGAGTCCTCCTCAGCATTAAGCACTAAAATGAGATGGTCTAGTAAGTGTGCATTGCTACGTCATAAATGTTTCCTCACTTAAGGTCATGGCAGGAAAACAAACTCTTAAAATTAGTTGTGGAACTCAACTTTATAAAAAGTTGAGTTGAGTAATTATACTATTCAAAGTCTTTATATAAACAGACTTTCTATTAATGCAATACAGAGAATGACAATTGCTTGTGGTCTCCCAGTGGTTTTTTTATTAGACATAGCATAATGTGATTGATTTACAGCAACAAAAAAAAATGCCTTCACCTCCGAAATCATGTTTTTGTCTTGCATTGCATAATGAAATTGGATGAGCTCAGTTCCGATTCATTTTTTGCTAATTCTCTTTTGAATTATGAAATGTGAATTGGAATGTGTGCAAAGGATTGTGGGTGACTGAAGGACGGAAAGGATACAGATGATGCATCCTTGAAAATAAGCTGAATGAGGAACGCGAAACAAAGACTGCCTTCCATTGATCAATCAAATTGAGACGGCTTTTGACGGAGCTTGATGACTTGGCAGCCTAGATATGCAGCCTTACTAGGGCGCAGCCTTCCAGTTGAGAAGCACTCACTGCGTCGTCTTTTTCCGTTTTATGACGGCTGACAACCAGCGTTAAGGTGCAGTACCGCCACTTACTGTGTTGGAGTGTCAACTACATACATACTGGCCCTGAAATGTTTGTGATATATCTACACGTATGTATATATATACACATTACAATTTGCTGAACAATTGTTCAGAATTGTTTGATATATACTGTGCTTGTTGTCTGTTGTAGGTCTCACGCCATTGCCTGTGTCAACCAGTTCATCATCAGCAGAACACAGGCCCTAATGCTGCACATAGATCCTTTCATTGAGGTACTACCTCCAAACCTGACATGTCAAAAATTTGAATTCTGTCATGTGCTTAACCTAACTATTCCATATTATAGAATTATGATCCAAAAATTTTGATTATTGTGATTTATTATGTTTTTTTATATTTATGCATGTGTCTTTGTACCTCAGAACCTGTTTGCACTGGCAGGTGATGAGGAGCCAGAAGTGAGGAAGAACGTGTGCAGAGCTTTAGTCATGCTTTTGGAAGTCCGACTAGACCGTCTCCTTCCTCAAATGCACAACATCATCGAGGTTAGATCACACCTCCTGTAGCTCCTAATAAAAAACCTAATATAACTCTATTACATGAGCGCTGAAAGAGAACTTTGACCTGGTTGTACATTTTTAATGATACATTTGCCCAGCAAATCCCAGAGAGGCAAAATTGAGCAACAGCAGCCTCTTGTGGACTTTCTTTAGCTAGACTTTTGTGGACTAATTTGTTAAAAATGGAATCGATGAGCCTTACTTATGAAACGTGAGCAAAATTAATTTCTGTGTTGTTTGTACGTAAAACTATTCTTACATTACATTCAGTGGGATAGTTTTTTTTTTGTTGTAAGAAATATTTTGGAGATTTTTTAACACACAATTATGCTCTGTGCTCGTGTTTCATGAATAAGGCTCAAAGTCTTTGTTTCTATTTCTACTTCTGTTTCTCAGTACATGTTGCAGAGGACACAGGATCAAGATGAAAATGTTGCTTTGGAGGCTTGTGAGTTTTGGCTCACTCTTGCTGAGCAACCTGTGTGTAAGGAGGTTCTGTGTGGACACCTGCACAAGTGAGCACATGCGCGCACACACACACACACACACACACACACACACACACACACACACACACACACACACACACACACACACACACACACACACACACACACACACACACACACACGTCTTTTTGATTAAAAAACATCATCTTTATCAGGATCAGTCATGTTTTTCCATGTTTTGTGACAGATTGACACCAGTTCTTGTGAATGGAATGAAATACTCTGAAATTGACATAATCCTGTTGAAGGTCAGTTTCTCTCTCTCTGGTTTTAAAGCTTCTTTTTGAGTATCAGCTGATTGTGACATTTTTGTATGCCGCCCCAAACAGAAGTGAAACATAAAACACACATCTGTGGATCAGACTGGGGCAAATAGACTAAATAAAACACTTGTGATTTGCCATTGAGTTTATGCGCACAACCAACATGTGATTTGGTTACGATGCTAAACCACATTAAAATAACCCCACATTGTCCTTTGGTTTAAATTTGGCTGTCATATACAAATTTAGTAGCACTTTATTTTCCATATCTCTGTCTTTCATGTTAAGACTCTTGAGTTCCAAAGCATCTAGTTAGCTTGAAATGAATGATCAGAGTAAAAAAAAAAAAAAAAGTCAGAAAAAAGCTAATTATAGGAACACATTTTGTGTTGTACATTCCTGACACCGTGTCAGACAAAAAGTTTGTGCAAAAAACAACTAGAAAGCTTAATCTTTTAATAAGTAAATGATTTTCAGGGTGATGTTGAGGAGGATGAAGCAATCCCAGACAATGAGCAGGACATTCGCCCAAGGTTCCATCGCTCACGCACCGTTGCCCAACAACACGAGGGAGGAGACTCCATTGAGGACGAGGAGGATGATGAAGATGATTTGGATGACGATGAAACTATTTCAGACTGGAACTTGAGTAAGAAACGGTGAAGTTTAGAAATGACAGACTCAGCCAAGTCCTCAATGTTTGCTTGTGTCTTCATTGTTTTTTTCTGATGTGTGTAGGGAAATGTTCTGCTGCTGCATTGGATGTCTTGGCGAATGTTTTCAGAGATGATTTGCTGTTGCATATTCTTCCTCTACTGAAAGAACTACTGTTCCATCCAGAGTGGCTTATTAAAGAGTCGGGCATACTTGTACTGGGAGCCATTGCTGAAGGTATTCAAAAATTATACACAAACGCATATGATTCACACAAAGCAAAGGATTGAAAATGTTTTTTGAAAGAAATCACTTATGTTCACCAAGGTTGCATTTATTTATTTTTATCATAAATACAGTAAAAACAGTAATATTGTGAAATATTATTACAATTCAAAATAACTGTCAAATTAATGTTATTTATTCCTTTGATGGCATCATTATTCCAGTCTTCAGTGTCACATGATCTTTCTGAAATCATTCTGTGCTCAATAAACATTTCATATTATGAATGTTGAAAACGTATGGGAACCGTACATTTCGCGGATTCTTTGATTAATGGGAAGTTCAAAAGTACAGCTTTTTTTTTCTTTTCTTTTTTAATCTTTGTAAAGATATCTTTACTGTCACTTTTTAGCAATCTAAAGGGTCCATGCAGAAAGAAAGTATTTATTTTTTTAAATAAATCTTATTGGCCCCAACTTTTGGACTGTACTATATATGTATACTTTTTGTTTAACAAATAAATGTATATCTTAACTGGGTAATACTTTATTTGAATGTGTTAGTGTAACACAAATTACGCGTCACTTTAGTTAATTACTGTACTAATGAAAAAATGTGTAATTACTAGCAACTTCAAAAAAAGATTTGCACACCAAGTACATGTAGTCAATTATAATGAATATATTAATAAAGTGTGACCTCCATCTCTCTTTTTTTGACAAGTATTTCCCTTCTTTTCTTTAGGCTGTATGCAGGGGATGATCGCCTACTTGCCAGAGTTGATTCCACATCTGGTACAGTGTCTCTCTGATAAGAAGGCGCTGGTTCGATCCATCACTTGCTGGACTCTGAGCCGCTATGCACACTGGGTTGTTAGCCAGCCCCCCGACACCTACCTCAAACCGCTCATGACTGAACTGCTCAAACGGATACTTGACAGCAACAAACGCGTCCAAGAGGCCGCCTGCAGGTGAGCATGTGTCAATATTGTATGTCTTGTTTAAAGATCAACTGAGATCTCTTTTTATCCTCTTTTAATCTCTGACTCTTACTCTTCCTCCCACAGTGCCTTTGCTACTCTTGAAGAGGAGGCTTGCACTGAGCTGGTGCCGTACCTTGCTTATATTTTGGACACGTTGGTCTTTGCTTTCAGTAAATACCAGCACAAGAACCTACTAATTCTCTATGATGCCATTGGGACTCTGGCTGATTCTGTGGGCCACCATCTCAACAAACCAGTAATTGCACGATCAAATAAACACAAACTCTTTTGTGTCAGGCACATATCTTTATTTTTCAAACATATACAGTAGAGGTAGAACATTTGAATTCAAATAAACTATTTGTAATTTAAGTATTTAATAAAATTATAATCAACATTTCTCTTGCTTTGTCTGCCAGTAACTTTTCAGTAACTGCCTGTGTAAGATTAATAAACACATGTATGACGACTTTATGTGTGTTGTTGTTCACATGCACTGTGCTCTATTTGCAGGAATATATTCAGATGCTGATGCCTCCATTGATACAAAAATGGAACCAGCTAAAAGATGAAGATAAAGACCTCTTTCCCTTACTGGAGGTAGTGATCTAACATTTCATTTATGCAAACTACCGTTCAGAGGTTTGGGGTTGGTAAGATTTTTTTTTAAGTCTCTTATGCTCAGCAAGTCTGCATTTATTTGATCAAAAATACAGTAATATTGTGAAATATTATTACAATTAAAAAAAGTATCTATTTCTAGTATTATCAAATATGATTTAATCCTGTGATGGCAAAGCTGACTTTTCGGCATAATTTCTTCAGTGTCACATGATCCTTCAGAAATCATTCTGATATTCTAGGTTTCCTTGATGAATAGATAGTTAAAAAGAACAGCATTTTGAAATAAAAATCTTTTGTAACATTACAAATGTTTTACTGTCACTTTCGGTCAATTTAATGCATCCTTTCTAAAGCATGCAGAAAAAAAGGACTAATTCAGCAGAAGTCAGAAGAAATTGAATATTTGTATTGTTTAAAATGTTGCATGTCAGTGTATGTCGTTGATGGTTGTGATTCAGAACAAGATCCTTATCATTTCTCTTTTAGTGTCTCTCGTCTGTGGCCACTGCCCTTCAGAGTGGCTTCCTGCCATACTGTGAGCCTGTCTACCAACGCTGTGTCAACCTGGTCCAGAAAACACTCGCCCATGCCGTGGTGAGGGACCACTCATACCTCAAGCATTCCGTAAATCTCTCTGTAATACTGTTAGCTTAAAGAAAATACTGGAGAGTGAAAAGTGTTGCAAAATGAGAAACGGGCATAATTTAAAAACATTGTATTATCCAACATAGTGGATATCACATGATCTCTCTCTATCTGTCACACAGCTTCACCAGACGCAGCCTGAGTTTTATGAAGCTCCTGATAAAGATTTCATGATTGTGGCTCTGGATCTGCTCAGCGGATTAGCAGAGGGTCTCGGCGGGAACATTGAACAGCTTGTTGCCCGTAGCAACATTCTCACTCTCATGTACCAGTGCATGCAGGTAACTATACAGCATAACAAGGCTTTGTGGTATGTGTTTAGACTAATATAACTAACAGTACTTCAACAATACCATTTGGTTGTTTCACACTTCATTTGGTTGCTTTGTCCAAACCCAAGTTCAATTCCTCTCTCATCAGTTCCCTTTCTAACGGGAACTCGCATGGCTTTCCCATAGCGTCCTAGGACGCAGTGTCTTGTTCCCCTTCTCAGTGAACCATGGTTATATTTGTAACCCGAGACGGTCTCTGTTCATTTATGCTAATGTTCAAAAGTTTGGAAATCTGTGGTAACATTATAAATGTCTTTACTGTCACTTTCGATCAGTTTAGTGTGAATAACGTATTCATTTATTTCAAAAACAAAAATCTTGCTGACCCAAAACTTATGAAAGGTAGTGTACTTTCGGTCTGAACCATGGTGTGTTTGTGCCACAGTGAGTTCAACCATGCTAACTTTATGAAATTAGGACGGCTCACTTTTCATACCAATTGCGAACCAGACCCCAGTCCACCTGTTTAAATTGAGTAAAGAAAAAAGGCTTGCAAAAACTGTTTTAGCCTTGTAAAAATGGTCTTTTGATTTTTGTATTTTCAAAGGATAAAATGCCAGAGGTTCGACAGAGTTCTTTTGCCCTGTTGGGAGATTTGACCAAAGCCTGTTTCCAACATGTCAAACCTTGCATTGGTATGTGGTTGCACGTATTCCCTGACACTTTCTCAATTTCGTCCATCTCGGTTTACCTTCAGGAACTAAATTTTGTTTGTTTGATTGTTTGTTTGTGTTAATCTCTCCTTTCTAGCTAACTTCATGCCTATCTTAGGCACAAACCTGAACCCAGAATTGATATCAGTCTGCAATAATGCAACATGGGCCATTGGAGAGATATCTATTCAAATGGGTGAGAGTTTCATCATCATCTTCAGTGATTGATTTCACTCATTTCATTATACCTTCAAGGTTAACATGCTATTTATCTCTCTGCTTAGGTTCTGAGATGCAGCCTTATGTCCCGATGGTTTTACAGCAGCTTGTGGAGATCATAAACAGACCCAACACACCCAAGACTCTGCTGGAGAATACAGGTACCATATGAGGGGTGCTAGACCAGGCTGACCCCTCACAAGAGGTTTCCGCCCTCTTTCTTTCCCAAACTCTCCCAGTCCCCGTTCCGCAGTGCTTATTAATCTCCATACAAACTCCAGGAAGTGGACCTTACAAGGTTTGATAAAGGTTTTAAGATAACTTGATGTGAATATTAACTAACTTACTGTGTAATGGATAAGAATAAGAGCAATTGTAATGCTCATTTTTTCTATATACAAAGTTAGTTCCCTCAGAATATCCTGTCTTCAGAAATTAACACAACAGACCTTGTAACAGTCCAGCCATGGTATTTACTGAAGTGGATTAATAAAACGGTGAATTCCATGTTAGCAAGTAGAGTTAATATCACTGTAATTAAGTCACAAGCATCAGTCAGTGAGATATTGCAAACAATGATAAATGTAAAACAGCCATGAAAGGAATATTAAGACCTGCTGTCTTTGATTTTAATGTTTTTTTTTACTTGAAAATTTTAACTTTAAATAGTCCTTTTTTCCCCTTTTAATTCAGAGAAAACGTCTAAACTCAAACTAAATCTGTTTTGTAGTGTTTAGATGAATGTATAGCACCTGTACCTCACAAAATATATCCCAGTTACACTCCACTCTAATTGGACTGCTCAAATTGAAGCTCTAGTCTGAGCCGTAATGGCCGCCGACATTGATGCCTTTTTTTTAAATGAGGGTGAAGTGTAATGCTCCAAACATACTCCTAAAGAAACAAGGGTACTTGTAGATGTGTTCCTGTTTGTCGATTTATTTCTGTTGTTTTAGTTACTTTTCTTTTTCAATGTGAATGCATATCTGCCAATAGATGTTGAATGTTGTTTAGTCAAGGACGGCTAATGTTTGATGCAGGATTGCTGATGTCTTGATTATTTATGTCACAAAGACTAAGTCCTAACTATTAAGTCTATTAACTCACTACTGTTCAAAAGTTTGGGGTCAGTAAGATAAACAAATGAATACTTTTATTTAGCAAGGATGCATTAAATTGATCAAAAGTGACAGTAAATGCTTTTACGTTATTACAAAAAAAATAATTAAATAAATTCTGTTCTTCTGAACGTTCTATACAAAGAATCCTGAAAAAACAAATCGCAATTCTGTTTCCGCAAAAATGTTAAGCTGCACAACCGTTTTCAACATTGATAATAATAAGAAATTGATCAAAATAATGATTTCTGAAGGATCATGTGACCCTGAAGACTGGAGCAATGGCTTCTGAAAATTTCCGCTTTGCCATCACAAGAATAAAATACATTTTGAAATATATTAAAATAATAGAAAAAGACAAAAGGTCCAGGGTGCTCAAGGAGTTAAAAAAAAAGTATTAGAAGGTGCTCTTTGGGGTCGAGAGTTCAATGTCATGTAGAAAAGGGAATCCAAGGCACTCTTCTTTAGAAAATTAAAAAGCCTTTATTAAACTGGCTCTATCTATCTTATGATAGAGCCAGTTTAATAAAGGCTTTTTAATTTTCTAAAGAAGAGTGCCTTGGATTCCCTTTTCTACATGATATTAAAATAATATTTGTATTTATACATTTTATTTATAAAAAAAAAAAATGTAATATTTCACGATATTATTGTTTTTTACTGTATTTTCGATCAAATAAAGGCATCCTTGGTGAGCGTAAGAGACTTTGAAGAAACATTGAAAAGATCTTTTGAACAGTAGTCGATCTCTTCTTTATGGTGCAGGTTTGATATCATTAATGTTATGATATTGAGTTTATCTACTAATTAATATAATAATGGTGGACAGTGCTTAACTGTGAATCAGCCCATCCTGCACTGAACTGCGTTCTCTAATGAGCCAATCATCTGCTTTCTGCATGTCTCATTGGACTGTTCATAAATGCCTGTCTTTAATGAGAATGTTGCATAGTTTTGTGTCTCTTAAACTTAGGTCTCCCTCCTCTGTGCCTCTTAAGATCCTGGTGGAATCTAGTCCTCTCCATGTAGTTCGCTTGGCGTAATATGCATTACTAAAAGAGACAGAAAGAAAGACAAGACTTTTCTGTTCTACTGAAGAAATTTTTGTGAGTTTAAGGGAGAAAATCTTATTAAACAAGATTGTTTTCTGTAGTCTTCATCTCTAAAACAGGGATTTGGGGGGGAAAAAAAGAACATGCAATCATGATGGTGATGTAGAGACGTTACATACATTTGGCGGAGACTGAAAGTTTCTCTGAGCTGTAAAGAAGCTGTGTTTTCTAAGACTCCTCCCTTAAACGAGATCTATGTTTTTTAGTGTCATATTTTTACATTTGACCCTGTAGTCTGGGGCTGTGAAGAGCACTAGTGAAATCTTGTGTTTATTCTCATACACAGATTCTGTTGAGTTCTGTTTCTGAGTTGTCTGTTTGTTTGTTTGTTTGTTTGTTTCTTTTTGTTTTCTCCTCCCCCCTCATTCGCTCATGTCTTGGTTGGCGTTTGGTGCTGTATAACCGTGATTGCGTTACCTTAGCAATAACAATTGGTCGTCTTGGTTACGTTTGTCCTCAAGAGGTGGCACCCATGCTACAGCAGTTTATAAGACCCTGGTGTGTATTATTCAATCTTTTATTTCATTCATTTCCTCTTTATGTCTATCTTCTGGCTTTTCTCTTTATGGCTCTCTCTCTCTCTCTCTTTGTTTCTTTCTCTCTTTTTCTTTCTTTCTTTCTTTCTTTCTTTCTTTCTTTCTTTCTTTCTTTCTTTCTTTCTTTCTCTCTTTTTCTTTCTTTATTTCTCTCTCTCTCTTTCTTTCTGTCCTTCTTTCTTTCTGTCTTTCTCTCACTCGCTCAGTTTCTCTCCAAACCTTGTCCCAGTGTTCTTGAAAAGGCTCCTGCTTTTCTTCATGCCTTGCGCTAGTATAGAAACATCCAGAGTTGTATATACCAAGCATACAATTTCGCTGGGGTAATATTTATATCTTCCTGCCATGCAAGAAGACACGGCAGGAGGCCTATTCAAGACATTTGAGAGAAGGCATCCCTCACTTTCTCTCTACCTTTCTCTCTGTTCTGTATGATTCAGTCTAAATCATTGGCAACCATGTGACTAACCCTGTCCCTCTAGGTCTTGTTGTTTAATTTGCCTCAGTAGCACCTTCATGTATTCTCAATTGATTTATTTCAGTTTTCACTTCTGTTTTCGTCTTTTATTGTCGCTATCTAACTACTAATTGAGTGCATGGGGTAATATCAAATGCTTGCTGGTTTCAGGAAACAAAAGCGCTAGCTATCTATGGATAAAAAGAAGATAAATGAAAAAACTTTCTTTAAAAAGTATTTTTCCTCCCCATTAGATGTGGAGTCTTTTAGCTGCATGATTCTATCCCAGAATGCCTGCCCCAAAACGTGCACTAGTTTAACTCTATAAACTAGCAGCTGACAGAATACATGGTGCTATATAGACATTGTATTTGTTGTAAGCGTTGTACTTGTTCTTATAAAGAAGTAGGTTGTTTTACCGCAAAAGCAGCTGAAGATCTTTATAAACATTAACATAATTTCTAAAGAAGGTAGATGTTTAAGAACCAATGATATTGATGCTAAAAAATAAGATTTTAATTTTCTGTAAAAATGATTGTGGGATTGTCAGGAAATATTGCAACAAGCTGAACTCTTCAGGTAAACCCGAAAGCTACTTTTCGGTTTCAACAAGAGAATGTTTTCATTACAAAGAAGATAAAAATGTTGGTTTCTCGATTGACCAATCTCTGTGATTTAAGACGTTTGCTCGTCCCAAGGTGCTCTGAGGTGATAGTCATGATATTGTGTTGATTGTGTTAGTCCACAAGCAAACTAACCGCACAGGCTTGTTATTTGAAAACTGGTTCTTCCCTTCACTAGGTGCACCTCTCTTCGCAATATAAGAGACAATGAAGAAAAAGACTCTGCGTTCAGAGGAATCTGCACCATGATCACGGTCAACCCTGGTGGTGTGGTGCAGGTACGACACCATATTCTCAGTGATGTCTCTCTGAGTGCTCTGACAATCGAAAATGATCCTCTTTGTTTTCTTTACCATCCCTCTTCAGGACTTTATATTTTTCTGTGATGCTGTAGCATCCTGGATGAACCCAAAAGACGATCTTCGAGAAATGTTCTATAAGGTAGAGCGCTGTGTAAATATTTCATGAGTCTGTGAGTTGGGAAAACCTTCAAGGTGATTGTGGACGTATGCTTCATACTTAAGTGCGTGTTCCCTGTTAGATCTTGCATGGGTTTAAGAACCAGGTTGGAGACGAGAATTGGAGACGCTTTTCTGACCAGTTTCCCCTTCCACTCAAAGAGAGACTTGCAGCCTTCTATGGGGTGTAGATGTTACCTGATTGAAGAGGTAATTTTCCATGAGATTTTCTAAGCTAGACTCTCTATTAGAGGAGTGTGTCAAAGCTTCTTTATAAGGCTATACAGCATTCACTTCATCGCAGTTGTTTTTACTATATAAAAGCAAATGTCGTATAAATAGGCCTGCATGCACAGTTAAATATATATCCTATATATCCTTCAGAAATCATTCTAATATGGTGATTTGCTGCTCAATATACATTTCTTATTATTATCAATGTAGAAATCATTTTGTGACAGTATAGGTGTCTTTACTGTGACTTTCGATTGATTTAATGCATCCTTGCTGAATAAAAAAAAAAAAAAGAAATCCTACTGACCCCAAACTTTTGAACGGTAGAGTTTATATTGTGCAGATTTTTTTGCTGAATTTAAAGTCAGTTTAAATATTACTAATTATTTATTATGTTAATTATTATATTCTGCACACTCTACCCCATGCATGTTCATTATTAAATATTTTTTGAAACTTTATTAATCTTTCAATTAGGGCTGTGAAACGAGCCAAATCGCATCCAAAATAAAAGTTTGTGTTTACATAATATGTGTGTACTGTGTATAATTATTTTGTATATATAAATACACACACATGCATGTATATATTTAAGAAATATTTGCATGTATATACTGTATATATATTTATATATCATTTATATTATATATAAATATTTTTTATATAAATACAAAAAAATCTTAAATTTATACATGCATGTCTGTGTATTTATATATACAAAATAATTATACAAAGTACACACACATATTATGTAAACACAAACTTTTTATTTTGGATGCGATTAATCTTTTCACAGCCCTACTTTCAATAAGGTAGCTCAAATTTGATCACATTTAAGTCCATTCTACAGATTTTCTCCCAATGAACAGTAGACATTCCATTAAATGCTCGTTATTTTAAAGTGTTACTGATATCTACTTACTAATGATACTGCACGTGTAACATGAATCTAATTTGATATCTTTCTCTCTTGTTCTTCAGCTTATTCACTATGGGTCAGGATGGGAACCTCTGATACCCAGGGCATATGTTGCCCTTTACCTGGGGGGAAGGGTGGTCTAGCAGGGGAGGGAGTCATACGGCCCACTGGACCCCTGTAGATGGGGTGGGAGGGAAGTGTTAGCTAAGGCACTAGTCGACGACACCTCGCCAAGCCAAACCAAAATAGGGAGGAAAGCTTTTTCATCATGTCATAACAATCAACCATGAGGCTGAAAAAAAAATACGTTGTTAGCGTTCATTCACCAGGGCACTTAATGTAACGGGGCATCCAGGGGTTCAAAAAAAAACAATGACATGAAGATATGTGTAAACTCGGTATTGTTGCACTCCTGACATAGGAAAGTGCCTGGAGACAAGCTCTGAAAGCTTAAAAAAACAGGTTTTGTTTATTTTCTGGACTGTATCATTTAGAGGGGTGGGTGTGATGTAAATCTCCACTGGACGCTAAGCATAAGTTCCTTTGCATGGGGTGATGTTGGGTATAGCTCGACTGCATGAAAGTGTGCAGACCGTATTTTGTGGGCCAGCTATGCACAGCAGTAGACAGTAAACATTCTAAAACCGTACCATATTTTAGACGCTTCGTCTGAAAGGTAACGTAACTAGAAATGTAAGTCCTCTCATATCATTGATGGTGAAAAGGTTTTCATTATTAGACTGGCAGTGATGCGAAGATAAAGGAATAAAATAGGAATGACTGCATAACTTTATTTATTATTTTCAAAAATTTTCTTGGTAAATTACGTTAGCATGTGCAAAGTAAGAGAGAAGACTCCATATTAACACAGTGAAGATGTTTGAACAGTTCAAACATCTGATTTATTGCTCTGTACGAGGCTTTAATATCCCAGTCTCACTTTCCAGTGTGGCTTGACATGGATCCAAACTATTGAACCCTGAACACACATTTTGTTTATTTGAGACATCCGCAATTTCTTTTTGCTTAGTTTGCTCAGAGCATGATTTTGAAGATGCTTGTAATATCTGTTTCGACTGATCAGGTTTATCTGGATGTTTAGTTGTTTGATTTGTGCATGTTGGTGGCCCAATGAGCAATCTGTTTTTCCTAGCCCCCCACCCCCCACAAACTAGTTTTAATAATGTGATTTTTCCACACATACGCAATAGGTGACGTGTTTTCCATCCACATATTGCTTTTGTGACTTTTATTTAGTTCCGTTACCTCGTGCATGAAGTTTAAAAAGCGTCCCACGTTGTGTTGTGTGTAATCCTGGACAGTACAGTGCTTGTGGAGGCAGTATTTGTGTCCCTCATGTGAATAGTAGCCTTAAAATGTCTGAATGTATCCCAGAGTGTGAGGATTTCGGTATTAAGAACTTTGTGCTTAAAAGTTGCTGCCACTTTAGAATCAGACAGACACGACTGATGTTCATACTCATCTGGAGGCCCGTGGAATGGTTCTTTCAGGTATAAGTTAAGATCTGGATTCAAACTGAACCAGCTGAGAGGTCAGACTTTTAAGGATGTACGCAGAGAAATGTTTTATAATTTTAGATCTGAACACCATGGGATACTGTCAGGTGTTTCCGAGTCTGTGTTGTGCTGGTGTATTTATGCCAAGTGTATTTATTTTCTTCAGTTTGTCTGTCACATTCCAGCTGTTTTACATTTGTAACCGATTAGAGAGGTCGGAGATTCTTCTGACAAAAAAATATGAAAAGAACAAACAAAGAAACAAGATGTAGGCAGATATTATGAATGTTAAGTGTGTCGTCTTACACTTATGAATGCTGCTATGTGCTGTAATTTTCTACTTGAATATTTTATGTTGTAGAGACCTCAGGAGGTATGTTTACTTTTATTTTTTTTAATGTATGCCTTTCTCTGCTGTTCAGTCTCCCATGTTTCATAATAATAAGAGCAATTCACTCTAATCCATTCTGCTGCTGGTGAATATCCTTTCTGACTGGCATATTGTGTCACTCTGTCTCCTCGTAAAGGAATGTAAACTTCTTTTTTTTTATTAGAGGAGATAAACTATCAGTTAGTAGACACTCATTTAGCTTCATGTGGGGATAATTTTGAAGAAACTGGCCCTTATGTATGTGAACACTTGTTATTTATGAAATATAAATGCAGTATATACTGTAACGCCTTGAAGTTAAACTTAAGTTTTCGGGGGATGGGGGTATAAATACGGCCATGAGACTTGGAGATTGCACAGTAATGAATCTAATTGTTTTACATTTTTTTTTTCTCTTGTTTTCTTTTTGTGTACAAAAAGTACAAAATGTAAAGATCTAAATGTTGTGTCCCCACCCTAGACTGCACCAACTGCTGTATAGTTATATGTGTGGAAATTAAGAAAATGTAATAATGAAGGAAACCTTTGCTCAAATGCTCCCTTTTTCTGGTCCGAGAGCAATTTTATTTATAGTGATTTTCGACTTTTGTTTTATAATCTGATTTTGAAGAAAGATTAAAATATAGAAAGTAATCATTTTTAGGGGCCACCAAATATTTTGGATCATGCAAAGAATATATATTGTACTGTAGAAATTTTGTAATGATATTTGTATGACATTGTTATGGACGTGAGTTTGTTCCACTGCTTGGATCTGTACATTGATAAGAATAAACCCTTTTCAAAAATCACTGAGTATGTTATTTGTCCAATGCATTTCAAAGGTATTAAATATAAAGGTATATTGACTGTTTTGGAAATGCAGGCACTGATTCAAATACCTTTTTGTGTATGTTCTGCCCTTTTTTGGGGGGAATTATCTGTAATACCAAGAGATATACCTGCTAAACAATTAATTAATTTATAAATATCCTAAATTAAGGGCATTTGATTGAAAGTTCACAGTGTAATGAGTTACTGATGTATCAGTGACATCTCTAATATAACATTACCACAACTCTTAGTATAATCCCATATGATTATTATACCAGTAAACAGTGTCTACACTAAGAATTTTGAGTTTTGCAGTGGGACATTTTACACAAAATTACACGATTGCATCATGAGAATGCAATTCTTGAAACTGCCACCAGCGTCGCTGTTTCTTTATAACAATTATCTCAATGAAATACTGAACAAGTGGAGGAGTGAAACGCAAGTGAGGAGGTGGAGTCGTGTTCAGATCAGGGAGGAAAACCCAGCAGAAGAGCAGGAAAAAAGAGGAAAAAACACCAGACACAACAACATCGGGGGGAGGACGGTGGATTAGCTGAGCCAACTGAGGCAATTCAAATTAAGAAAAGCGCCGCTGTGAAGAAGGGAGGACAGCAAGATGATAACGCCCTATTTCCTGGAAAATTTCTGGGTAGGTTGTTTATGTTGTGCTCTTATTTGGCTTTGCGGGTTAAAGACAACTCTTCAGCTCTATTCGTCTGTCATTCTTTACATTGGTATGATATGCTTGATTTCTGGGGCTGTTCTTCGTGTTTTGTTTCACACCGGCCATTGTTGGGATAAAACCGGTAAACCATGTTCGAGGCAAGCACGAGAGCATACTGGCCTGTTGCCCCCTCACTTTTCTCGGAGAATCCCGTCCAGCTAGACCGGGGATTGGGCCTCATTACATCCATCTGACAGACAGCCCACTACGTTCCACCTCCGTTTATTCTGATTGGCTGTCGGCAACATCTTGGAATGTTAATGATCCTATTCTGCAACACCATTGAATGTTACGGCTGTCAATCACAATGCTGTCCTGCTCTAGTTCTTCCGTAATGAAGTTAGACTGGAGGCCAGAATGTTTAATAAAGTTTTGTGTAGAGTTATATAATTCATTCATATGTGAAACATGTAATGATTAGCCCCCGTCTCTATTCGTGTTTATCGCTTTACTATCAAGTTTTACCTCATCAAAATCAAAATATGCCTCCTTATCAGACTTATTTGCTTCTTAAAGGGACACATTAGATACAAATAATGTCATAATTTACTCAACCCAAACATGTATGAGTTAAATACAACGCGAAATGAGATGTTAGACAGAGGGTAGATGTTAGTAAAGTAATAGTACAACCAAAAAATGAACATTCTGTCATCTTTTACCCACTCTCATGTCATTCCAAACCTATATGGCTTTCTTTCTGCTGTGGAACTTAAAAGAAGAAAAGAGGGTATTTTGTATAATGTTTTTGGCCATAAAGTGGAAGCAGATTTTCACCAAAATGGTTTGGTGGCCAATATTCTTTAAAATATCTACTTTTGTGTTCTGCAGAAGGTTTGGAATGACATAAGAGTGAGTAAATGACACAATGTTAATTTTTGGTTGAACTGCAGCTTTAACAATCTGCCCAACATCTAAGTTAGTCATACAGGTTTTGGAACAACATGAGGGTGAGTAAAAGGACGGCATTTTCATTTTTGGGTCGACTTTCCATTGTTGTGACTGACAGCCTTAGTCTATATTCACTTTCATTGCATCGTTTTCTATTAATAAAAGTTGTACATTTCCTTTAGCATGCCACAGACGATTTTTTTTTGTTGTTGCATTTTTTAGTTCATTATCACTTTCAGTAGAATGAAGGTGTGTGCGTTCAGGTGTGATCATGCACAGTCTGTCTTTATCATCTCTTACATTCCAGACATCAAGAATCTAGTCACTATTTCCCCATTGTACAATAAAAGTAATTGAGGGTTTTTGTTCTGATTAAAGTTAATTCATTACCTAAGTGACAGAATGGATAAAGCCTAATGCACTATGTGAGCATACCAGAAGAATCATCTGTTGTCATGTGCCGTATATGATCATGGTTTAACCATTAAACATCATCTGACTGCCACAAGTGTTGAGCCGAGTAGGATGAGAAAGTGTGCAGTTGGAGGCCGTGACTGTCAAATTGGGAGATGGGGGAGATGAAGAGAGATGAGGGATTGCAGATCTGTGGAGTCTTGTTCTCAATCAGGCCTTTGTGTCGATGCCTCAGTGAAACAGGGACGCCTATGATCAGCTGTGTGCTTGTAATGCAGGGCACAGACATACACACATATACCCCACACACAGAGAGACACACTCCTTCACTGAAGCTGTCAAGCTGTCTTGATATTTATCTGCCATGACATAATCATCTTTTGAAATTAATCTTCTTTTCCCTCCAGCGTCTGCCGCCCACAGTTGTGACAACTTACCCTAAACCACCCACAACAAAGTGGTGTGTGAAGGAAACCTCTTAGTCTCGTTTCCTACAGATAAATACATGTAACCACAGATTTCCTCTCATGCTGAAGAGCATCGTGTGATTTTTCTAGTGAGCTTTTGACCTTTGCTGATATACATTCTCCTCTGTTGGTTTTGTTGGTGGTTGTTCAGACTTGTTACAGTCAGAAGACACCTGCTTACGGAAATGTATCCGGTTGAGTCATACTGCAGATATTACCTTTTAGTTTCTAGGTCTCTCTAGAGTCAGTCTTCTGACTGTAATGAGGTCTTCATGAGAACTCATTATTTTCTTTTTTTTTTATGTATGGTTATGTTAGTCATTTGTAGAGTCTAAAATGCCAAAACAGTGTAGAGTCTAAAATGCCAAAACAGTTATTGATAACATTTACATTACATGCACATCATTTTCCGATTACATTTACAGTCATTCATTTAGCTTTTTTCCAAAGCCAATTACAAATGTGAAATGTCAAAAGCAATTTGTCATACAGTCAACAGTATTCATTGTATACAATGCTGTGTTTAGTAAAAACTAGATAGTGAAATGCAGAAAAGAACTGAAAGAGATTTTTTTTTAAATAAATAGTAATTAAGGTCTATATTTTGTTTGCCTTAATTCTGGAAAGAACATATAGCCTACATGCTCTTTGGATATTGTTACAGCCTGCTCGTTTAAGGCCGCAACATGAAAGAGGGATCAGACATGATATCTAATGAATGCACGTTGTTTTATTTAATTTAACAAATACTACAATAACCATGAATAATATTAAACATAAGTCTAGGGATTATCAGGGAAACAAAGAAATAACAAATATAATAACCACAACAAATTTTTTAAGCTACATGATATAAGAAATGCATAAGAAACAAATGAGAAAGAAGTCAGTAAGATGTAACATCCTGGTCAAGAGACACTCCTGGGAGAAACTATCCCTCAGGGACGGCCTATTCCAAATGCAAACCAGAGCACTTATTTACTCTAATCAGCTAATTATCAATTAACATGGGGGAGCGAATCAGAGATTCCCATGCTCTGCCCCAAGTAAGGGGAAATCTCAGGGTCGTAACAATATTCCTATTCCTGTATTCATGTGATCAGCATAATCAGAATAAAGAAAGGCATGCATTTTTCTTGCTATTCTTACAAGGAAATATTGGAGATGCTTGCTCGTGCCATATTTAATGATGCGATTCATGATCATGTCCTTCAACAATAACAGAGGAGCATGATGAATTGCAAATGTAGGTCGTGACATTTAATTTTATATTTGTGAATATGCTCTAAAGATATATGTTTTTTCATTAGCTTGACTTTTCAGCACTCTAAAATTACTCAGAATTGCCTTTGATATGCAAAGAAGGTATAAAATAATGTTTTGTTACTGTGGGTGTTAAAGTGAAATAGTAAAGTAAAGTGTTGCCTAGTAAAAGTGAGTAAAGTGGGTAAGTTAAGTGAAATAGCATATTAGTTGTTAGTGGTGCTCCAATTGATCAGCTACCGATCACTATCGGCCAATAATTGCTTCTAGAGACTCGATCGGCGATCTCTCAATTTGCCGATCTCAGAAACCGATTTCATGCTTAAGAAGCAAGTTCGCTCCTGCTGAGGTATGCCGCTGTCTCAATCTCTGTCCGGTGCGGGTATAAAAAGATATTATACTGTGGGTGAGGTACACTTTATACATCTTTATGAAATAATTTTACAAATCAGTAATTTGAAAACTTTATGTGAGAAGTGATTTCACAAACAGCGTGAGTGAATCAGCGCATGCTAGCTCTCTCAAAAACACATCACATCTGCACTGTAAGCGCTCTGCACAGTTGACGGAATTGTCAGGATTATAGTTTATAATTTGCACATCTTGTCTTGCCAGTTTAAACATGCAGCTCATGAGTACCAAATTGAGTTAGTGGTTGTTACAAATGTATTTTTAAAAATGTACCGTCTTGGTGACTATTCATGTAAACACAGTCGGTTACGTCTTAAGTGATCATAAACAGTTGAGAAAGAAAACGCATGTGTAACAGTATATTGGATCCGTGCATCAGCTTTTAAAGTGACAGCAGCCTAATATACAGGTTGCACATCAATAAAAACAACAATAGCACTCATTATGTTTATTATAAAGGGAAACGTTTTTTTTTTTTTTTCAGAGCTGTTTCGTTCTTCCGGGTTAAAAAAGAAAAGTTGAACCAACATCACGAAAAGTGAGGTACATGCGTTAATCCGGAGTGGTGATTGGCTGCAAGTACACATCTATGTCATCAGTTTCTGAGCTTTTCTCCACATTTATTCATGAGAATTAACTCTTTTAATTAGGGGTGTAACAGAAGTCACAGTTCGGTACATACCTCGGTTTTGGGTCACGGTTCGATACACGTCAGGTACATTTACATATCCGACCCATATTCAAAACATGATTTTGTCTCATTATGACAGCGGAAACAACTTAAAATACTCCGTCATTTATGGTCATACAGAGAAGAGTAAGGCATCATCGAAACTGTAAATGTTCTATTTTTGTTTGTGTACACTCACAATAAAAACAAAACATTGTGCTTTTGTAAAATAAAGAAAACAAACAGGATGACGCTTTCTGCCGTCCCAGTTTCCTTTCCGTGAAGCTTGTGGAACACGTCACAAAAATGAATCAAAACCATTTGAACTCTTGTTTTGGGTTGGTGCATAGATCGTCTCTTCTTCTGCTCTTTTTCCTGTTGTGGCGGTCAGCAAACAGCGTTGCATTTTGTAGTACGCCCCCTTCGAGATTGGAGTGTGGATCGTCTGTGACTAACTGTATTCGTCATCTGACTCTATGCACCGAACCGTGACTTCCGTACCGTGAAGGTTCGGGATGAATACATACTGTTACACCCCTAATTTTTTTAATCCAATCACTGCGCTGTATTATGCATGAGATAACATTACAGTGTCATCATGACAATTTAAAGTTAATCAAACAACAAAAGAAAAAAGAAAATCACCCACTGCTCTCGACTGAATAACTTTTGTAACCTTATATGTAAGGATTAATCGTGTTGTAATTTGTTTATTTGTTCTTATTTTATTACTGACTGTTTACTTGTCTTTTTTGTAAATTCCATTCAAAGCTTGAAATCAGGCATGTGCTTTGTGTAAGAAGATATTG